GTTCCAAAGCACTCCTCAGTATGTACATATATACATATATTTGAATCACATCAACTTCTGTCATATCAAGTCGTGAAGTCAATAGTGTAGGCTATAATGTAGTCTAGTATTTAGTCTACTCTACAGTAAAGTATAAAGTCTTGTCTATAGCCAATTATAAATTCTAGTCTATAATCTAGTCTTGTATATAGTCTAGTCTATAGTGTAGTCTATCTTGTCTATAGTTTTTTCAGAAAAGTTAAATTTTTACAAAAATAGTGGAAATTTTCATTGAATTCACAAACAAAATAATTCAAATTTTCATCAAAGTAGAACAAAGGAAGGATTAAGAAAAAACCTACAAAAAAGGACTTTTTCGCTCTTCCAAAGGTACTTTTTGAATTTTCTATAATATTGAATCTAAAAACATGAAATTAAACATGTAGTGCCCGGAGTAAGTCAGAACCAATAAAAAGGGACAAAAATTTAATTATACCCTACACCACTTTAGTGGGGAGGGTATATTGGTTGTGCTGATGTTTGTAACATGCAAAAATATTCGTCCTATACCCACCTTAAATTATACCAATCGGCTTAGAATCGTTTTCCGAGTCGATTTAGCTATGTCCGTCCATCTGGCTGGCTGTCCATGTAAACCTTGTGCGCAAGGTACAAGTACATTTTCAAGACAATTGGATGAAATTTGGCACACACACTTTTTTTGACCCAAGGACGGAGCCTACTGAAAATTGTTAAAATCAGTCCATTATTTCACCTAGCCCCCATACATTAGAGCCCCCCGAAAAGGGCCTCTGAGCTCATAATTGTGTTAAATATATCTGTATATCGATAAAAAGCGGCACAACTAAGTTTTATACAAGCCTTGATGACCTTGCCAAATTTCATAAAGATTGGGCCTCATTTGACCCTAGCTCCCATACAAAGTCCCCTTCCGAAAATTAATTGAACGACCAAAATTGACTTATAAACACAAATATCGCGATGAAATTCAGCACAAATAAATATTATATAATATAAATATATTCACAAAACTTTATCGGACTTGGTCCATATTTGCCCTTAGCCCCCATATAAAGCCTCTTTCAGAAAATTAGTTTTTCATCCATAAATTGCTTAAATGTATCGGAACAATGAATTGTTACGAAAAATAAATCACATTTAATATTCATAACTGGTGTAGGGTATCATATGGTCGGTCACGGCCGACTATACTTTCTTACTTGTTTTTTATTTAAAAATGTTTTTTCAGAAAGGTACTTTTTTGATTTTCTATAAAAGGATACTTTTTGGTTCTTTTTCCTTCTTCAAAATGTACTTCTTTAATTTTCTATAATATTGGACGTAGAAAGATGAAATTAAGCATTAAGAGCCTTAAGTTAATAAAAATCTGTGGGAAAGGATTTTTGGTACTTTTTCATTATTTTTATGTTTTTTTTAAGTTTTGAACTGAAAATCACAGTAAAATAATAATAAAATTTTATTTAACATGTATATTTTTTACTTTATAGAAACTTTATTAATTAGTTCAAAAAACAATAATCAATGATATGATTAATATAATTTCGTCGATTATAAAAAAATAAATAAGTACAAAAACTTTAATATCGTTGCTAAAACCAATAATTAAAACAAGAAATACTTAAATAAGCAAATTAAACAAATAAATAGGCAGTTTTAACTTAAATAAATAAGTAAAATGCATAATTAATGATCCAAACATGTTTATATTTAAACTAAATTCGTTTTATTTGCGAAATAAAATAATTTCATCTCGTTGGCACATTTACTCCAAACCCAAGGCATACTTAAACTTACGACGTCCCTGAATATACCACATAGTTTCGTGATAAGATTTAGGTAAAACCACTGGCACCTCATCCGCCGAGGAAAATGTATAATAGAAAACATTTGAAGTTAATTGATTGCCCGTAGCAGCATCTATAACATCGGCCACAGTCATCATTTGTAAATAGTTAACATCGGTATAAACCACATAAGCAGTCATTTTAATGAACGAGTTAACACTAACCGGTTGTTCGAAACTAATATCGCAGATATGTTCCAATTTAGGACGACTCTTTAAATAGAGATTAGCACCCACCCAACTAATTTCTAAAGCATTACGCATAAGGAAACCACCAAATACTTTATTATGAGCATTACGATTTTCCGGAAATGAGGCCATGGTATTGGTAACAAATGAATCAGACATCCAACGACATTTGGGTGGTAAAACACGTTTATTCAATTCCATGGTGGTTTGTGGGGTAGTACGTTTAAATAAATCATACATTAATGACTGTTCATAGTCATTGGGTTCCACTTTAAATATGGAGGAAGCCTGCAGTATTTGACGACGTTTTTTACGTTCTACTCCACCATTTAAGATTTTAGTTTCCTCCTCATTGGCCGGCTGTATTGGATTGACAGGAGCAGCCGCTGTATTGGTGGCATTACGAGCAGCCATTAAAAACAAAGCTCTTGTGATTTTTCTCCAAACACCATTATCTTTTTGCTCTAACCACACCACTATCTCCATAGAACTTTTACCCACCCAAGAAACATGTCCCGAAATTCTTACATCTTCGGTGGCTTTAGCCTTCATATCAGAAAATGTTATTTTATCTACCAAAATTGTAACAAAAGTATAAGGCAAGTGGACATTTTCCGGCAGATTATTGAGTTTAACATGTTGATGACACACCCAGACGGCAAACAAATCCATATCTTCCATTAAACGTCCCATACGTACATTACCCAAAAATGAGATGTATTTATCCTGTAAATTCTTATCCACACTTAAGGGTAAAATGGCAGAGGTAAAGGAGTCCTGCATAGAGCGTGGTGGTAAATCGGATAGTTTTGGTTCATATTTCAAAAGATGTTCTCGGGTTCTGGGCACGGGCGAATAGCCGGCCTCTAAGCCTAAACGATTCATGATTTCTTCTTTAACTAGAACAGAAAATAAAGTAAATAGGGAAAAGTTAATGATCATATTAAAAGTTTTGGCATTTCAGCTTCAGTATTTGTTCAAAATAAGGGAATTTATCTAAAATTTTACGTTTTATATAATTTTGTTAAAAAATTTTGATTTAAAACGATTTTTTCCAAAAATACAGTACAACTTTCTTTTAATAGTGTGTATAACACTTTCTATTCTATTTCTATAAATTACGATTCCCTATCAATTTCCTGCTACATACCTTCTGCCATAGTACCCGCATAGTAGGGATCATTTTGACCATGCTGCAAGCCAATATAACGTCTGGAACCACTAAAAATAAATTCAACAAAATATACACACAAAATCAACTCTTGTATTACATACATATGTATCTAATACCCCCTCCAACTAAATCTTTATACTTACACCGCAGTCGCTGCTGAAATAAATTCTTTTTGTAGAGGCTGCCATTTAGTTTTTGCCAAAGCTTTTGTACATTTTAATAAATTTCTTAACATTTTTTATGGAAATTTACTTGTAAAATGTACCAGATACTAAAAACAGATACAAAAAATCACTGCTTATCTTTAAGAAATAAAAATTTTAATAAATGTATCTGCTTTTTAAGCAAAACAACACCTTTTCTCTCAACAAAGTATATTTTTGTTGTTTTTCGGTCGTCTTCTTCTTGGTTTTAGTATAACCGTGACGTAATTGTTTTCATTTGCATAATTTTTTGTTGTGTGTATGATAAACAACAAAAACAACTGTAAATATAAATAGCAGTTTTTATAAACAAACCAAAACAATTGAAGAAGAGGAAGAAAGTGGGACAGTGTTATGAAAACATTTTACAACACTGTTTATATTAAACTTGTTTAGTGGAAAATTAAAAACACAATTAAAGGAAATAAATAAAAGGAAAATTAGTTTAATTTAAATTGTGGTTAAGTGTTTTATAAAAAATAAGAATATTTTATTATTAATATTGAAAGTTCACTTAATAATTATATACTTCTCTATATTTCTTTATGTTTAATATACTTTTAGTTTCCGGTTGGCATTTCTAACATTTTTAAATAAAAACTTAGTCTCTATCGAGAAGATAAATAGATAGTTAGATAGATAGATAGATAGATAGATAGATAGATAGATAGATAGATAGATAGATAGATAGATAGATAGATAGATAGATAGATAGATAGATAGATAGATAGATAGATAGATAGATAGATAGATAGGTAGATAGGTAGATAGGTAGATAGATAGATAGATAGATAGATAGATAGATAGATAGATAGATAGATAGATAGATAGATAGATAGATAGATAGATAGATAGATAGATAGATAGATAGATAGATATTTTGTTGTTATTTTCAAATCATTTCCTATAAATTTTATAGTATAAAACTTCTATTTATCTTAATCTATCCAAACTATTGCCTTAAATAAATTTAAACACATAAAAATCAATTTAAAAATATTTATATTTAAGCACTTTTTATCCTAAATAAGTAACAAACAAATTTCAACTATTTACTTTCTATAACATTTCATCATAACAAAAAATCTCTTCAAATCACTCCATACCCAAAGCATATTTAAATTTACGACGTCCTTGTATATACCACATAGTTTCATGATAAGATCTGGGTAAAACTTCGGGCACTTCTTCCGTTGAGGAAAATGTATAATAGAAAACATTTGAAGTCAATTGATTACCGGTAGCCGCATCTATAACATCGGCCACAGTCATCATTTGTAAATAATTAACATCGGTATAGACCACATAGGCAGTCATTTTAATAATCGAATTAACACTAACTGGCTGTTCAAAACTAATATCAGAAATATGCTCTAGCTTAGGGCGACTTTTACAATAGAGACTGGCACCCACCCAGCTGATTTCCAAAGCATTGCGCATTAGAAAACCACCAAAGACAGTATTTTGAGCATTACGATTTTCGGGAAATGAGGCCATGGTATTGGTGACAAACGAATCAGACATCCAGCGACATTTGGGCGGCAATATACGTTTATTCAATTCCATGGTAGTTTGGGGAGTAGTGCGCTTAAATAAATTGTACATCAAAGATTGTTCATGATTGTTGGGTTCTACTTTAAAAATCGAAGAGGCTTGTAGTATTTGACGACGTTTTTTACGTTCTTCTCCGCCATTTAAGATCTTGGTTTCTTCTTCATTTGCCGGCTGTATGGGATTGACGGGGGCAGCCGCGGTATTAGTGGCATTACGGGCAGCCATTAAAAATAAAGCTTTAGTGATTTTCCTCCAAACATTATGATCATGTTGTTCTATCCAAACCACAATTTCCATAGAACTCTTACCCACCCATGAGACATGACCCGATATTCTAATATCTTCAGTGCCTTTAGCTCTGACACCGGAAAATGTTATTTTATCTACTAAAATAGTAACAAAAGTATAGGGCAAAGGCACATTTTCGGGTAGATTGTTGGGTTTAATATGTTGATGACAAACCCAGACGGCAAACATATCCATATCCTCCATCAGACGTCCCAGACGGACATTACCCAAAAATGAAATGTATTTATCTTGCAAACTCTTATCCTCACTTAAGGGCAAAATGGCAGAGGTAAAAGAGTCCTGCATAGAACGCGGTGGTAAATCGGAAGGTGTTGGCGTATATTTCAAAAGATGTTCACGTGTTTTGGGCACTGGTGAGTAGCCGCTTTCTAGACCTAAACGTTTCATGGCTTCTTCTTTGACTGTGAAAATTAAAAAAGAGAAAAGATTAATAACATTTTTAATAATAATAAGAAACTATAAATAAATTGTTCTCAATCTAATTCGCTTTCAAGTATTTTTCTGTGATTTTCTCTTTTTTTACAGAGTACAGCAATTTTAAATAGAAATCAGTGTTCTACAAGATTTTTGCTTTATAATATGTTTCTAAGAAAATTAATTAATTAATCAACTTTTCAATTTCTTTGTTCGGATTTTGTTATTTTTACTATAAAAAATTTTATGTTTTTAATGAAACTACAGCATTCTAACTAACTAGTTAGGAATATATTTGTTAGGGCGGGTTTCTTACTACTCAGTTAAACTAGGCTTAACTTGCTGTTAGATTAAACTCGGAACAAATTTAGGCGGACTTTAATCGATGATTGTGTTTTTCAGTTATGGATTTAAGTTCAGTTAACTTTGTTAGTATTGCCAACTTTTCACTCAAAAACATAAACAATGAACAGCTGTTTTTTGCAAATAATACTTTTGTAAAATGAAAAATTTTGGAAAAATGTTAAATAAACATTTAAAACAATAATAAATAAAACAAAACAAATCAGAAAATTGCAATTTACTTAAAATATTAAGTTTTTGTTCTTCCGAAATCATTGTTTTATTGTTTTTGTTAATTGTGTCTTCTCACTTATAACTTAAGTTTAATTGGCCAATAACACTCAGTTAAACCAAGATAATAAGTAACGTTACTGTTTACTGAAAAACACAAAACATACATATATTAAACTAGGTTTAAACAAAGAATGTAGATTAACTTTATCTGAAAAACCCGTCCTTAGTAGGTTTAAAAAACAGTTTTTACTTATAACATTAAGAGCGGGTTTTTGAGTTGGCAATCAAATGCCAATTAATAATCAGATTAGTTAATCTTAAAATAAATTTAATCTGATGTTTTTGAGTACAAGATTAAACTTCGCAGTGTTGCCATACAAAACAACAGAAAACGTCACTGTTTGTTATCAAAACAATGCATGTTTTATAAAAAAGAAGAAGACAATTTATTGCTTTATAACATGTTTCCAAATTTAATATGAAAATTAATGAAAACTTAAATTTAAAACAAAAAATGCATTTTGAAGTGTCCATAATTTATACTAATCAATAAATAGAACATTTTAATGTTTATATTTATAAAAATTTTATTAATTTTATGGCATCAGCTATTTACATTTTTGCATTTCATGCTTTAGTTTAAAACACATCCATTGGGCGCTTAAACTTGCAAATAAAATTAACTAATTGAGTACTCAAAAACATCTTTCAAGGATTAATTTTAAGTTAATCGCTAATCTTTCACCTTAAGATTGGCCCTAAGATATCTAGATTTAGTTAACACTAACAATTTTGAACGTTAGATAATACAAATGTATTACAAAACATAATATCAATATTATGAAATCATGATTTGACATAATTATCTCTTATTAAGAAAATACTCTTTCTTCCTCTGTTCCTACCACAATTCAAATAACATTTTACCTACCTTCCGCCATGGTACCCGCATAATACGGATCATTTTGACCATGCTGCAAACCCAAATTACGTCTGTTTCCACTATAAATATAAACAAATAAATGCTCAGTCATCTCCTCCTCCGTCAATAAAAAACACAATTAATTTGCAACTTACATCGCCGCCTTTAATGATATACTCTTTTGTATTGGCTGCCAATTCAATTTGGCTAAAGAATTTCTACTTTTTAATACATTTCTTAACATTTTTAATTAAATTTATTCTAAAAATCTTCCACCGTCTGGATTGAAATTCATAAAATAACTGCTTATCTTGAGGAAACCGAAACGACTAATACAGCGCAAACAAACAATATACAAATAATACACCTTTGTTGTTGGTAGTTTATGGATTTTGGACTATATAACCGTGACGTTTTTATTTTTATTAGTAACAACAACAACAAGCAATAATAGTTTTCTAAACAAAACAAATGATGTTTAACAAGAGAGATAAGCGGAAAGAGAAGAGAAAAAATATAAGCAAAATATTAAATAACGGTATACTCTTGTGTTAGAGAGAAGAGAAGAAATGAGCTTATAAATGTAAAACTATATTTACATTTCAATTACGTGGTAATAAACAAATAAAAATAAAATTTTTTGTTAGCAATTTTCATGATCAATAGCTTTTTTCTTAGTTTCTTGCACTTGTCTAAGTCCAAAGCAAATTCATAAAAGGTGAAGTCATGTAGCAGATACAGTGAATCAATGAAGTAATTTGCCTATGTAAAATTTTATAAATTTTAAGAAAAAACTTTATCTGAACAATTATTTTTAGCAAAATAAAGCAATTTGTTTGTTGTATTTTTTAAAGAATATCTTATATTTTAATAAAATACCATAAAAAGTAAAATCGTGATATTAATTAACGAGATTTTTGATCAAATGTGAACGTATTGTTAATTTTTAAGGTCAATAAAGTATTTTGCTTTTTTAGGTTTTTTGTTCATTTTTTTAATATTGCTGCATTATTTTATAAAATTTAATATTTTTATTTCTCCTATGTATTAGAATAACATTTTTTAGATATTTTAGTAGTGGAACGACTAAGTTTGGACATTTCTTAACCGATTTACTATCCTATATACCTATAAGAATTTCTCAATATTTGACTTAACATGAAATCTATCGTTTCTTTGATTTAATTTCGAAAATAATAAGTAATTTTGAATTGGATACATGATATATTAGAAAATCATATATTAGAAATGGATTTGGACCTAGAAAAAATTTTAGTGGGGTATAAATCTATAGATTATAACAAAAATAATCTGGGTTTTTGGTCATATTGTATTGACAAACAAAAACTACATTACGGAAACGCCATCTATTTGGGGAGTACTGTGTGAATTTCATTTAGAATTGTGTAATATTGATTCTTATTCAATAAAGCTAACACTAAGTACCATCCTAGCCACTCTAAGTATGGGGATATCACCGTATACCACTATAGAACTATTACATGCTAGAATCTTGATATTCTACCTCATATTTTGAATGCATTATTTTATGAATAAAATACAGTAGGCGTAGTTGGATTTGGATAGTTATTCTTGATTTGGGTTCTAACTATATATAAGTGTATGTTGAAAAATATTGCTTTTGTGGATCTTAGGTGATGAGAACCGCCTCTATTTGTAAATATCTAAATTAAGTATTTTTCCCGTACCACACGATAGTTCACTTTATATTGTTTCGAAGCGACCTAAGGTCTGTTTAGAGGTCTAAATTTAAACATAGTGTTCTTTTAAGTTCGTATATGGACTTTGGAGAAGATAAATGAGGACTTCAATGGTTTTTGCTTGAAAAATTAATAATAATTTGAAAAACCCAACGAAATTAACTGGAAATTTCAATATGCAAAATACTTTATTGACGTGCAAATTATGATGAAAAATAATAAAATGCAACAACAAATGCACCAAAATTATTATTTTAATATTTTTTTCTTGGTTTTCCCATTCTACACAATCTCTATTTTCAATTGGAAACCATAAATTTACTTTTTACCTGTTTTTTGGAATTTTATTTATGAACAAAAAACAAAATTCTTTTAAAAAAGGTAGGCAAAAAACTTAGTTGATTCACTGTAGCTGTTTTTTATAGTTTTCCCCAGGTCAAACCGTTATTACAATGATCTTACCTTCTATAGATTCGTCTTGTCCATACATTAGCTGGAATAATTTGAGCTACCAATTGTTTTAATTAAATATTAAGGGCCAATCTTTAGGTGAAAGATTAGCGATTAAATTAAAATTAATCCTCGAAAGATGTTTTTGAGTACTTAATTAGTTAATTTTGTTCGCAAGTTTAAGCGCCCAATGGAGGTGGTTTAATCTTAAGCACGAAATGCTGATGCAAAAAAATTAATACAATTTTTATAAATATAAACATTAAAATGTTCTATTTATTGATTAGTATAAATTATGGACACTTCAAAATATATTTTTTTGTTTTTAATTTAAGTTTTCATTAATTTTCATATTAAATTTATAATTATCTTCTTCTTTTTTATAAAATATGCATTGTTTTGATAACAAACAGTGACGTTTTCTGTTGTTTTGTTTGGCAACACTGTAAAGTTAAATCTTGTACTCAAAAACATCAAAGGGGATTAACATAAGATTAAATTTATTTTTAGGTTAACTAATCTGATAATTAATTGGCATTTGATTACCATCTCAAAAACCCGCTCTAAGAAACTTTTTAATGTTTTTGTTTCCTGTTTTATGTATTTAGTTATTACAGTAAGTAAATTACCCATTACATTGGAATACTCGTCCCTGTCACATCGTTATTTCCTATGCCATGATATAATACGTACTTAGTGCATCTCATTTTTTTTCTTTCTTTATTTTTATCATGGTGCATCTTGTCCCTATCCCATAAACCTTTTTTTGAAAATAACAAATTTCTGAAACATTCCATTTATAAAATCAATTTATTTACGTTATTCATTTTTAATGATAGTTATCCTAAAATATACATAAATTTTATGTTAAAATTACTAAAAGTTTTTGGAAATTGTTCTAACAACAGAAAATGTCCTAAATCTTCAATGCTCTTAAAGCTGGTCACATCACATTTTGGGTAAATATTTTCTAACAATAAAGAAATTGTAAGAAATATTCACAAAAAAAAATTAAATTTATTAAGCTCCTCAAGAAATATTGGCTTGAGAAATGTGCGACCCAGAAAATCGGGTACCATGAAAGAAGGTAAATGTTTTTGATTAAATAGATCGCGAATCTTATATATAATTCATAACTTCACCCCAAGTTAATCTCAAAATAATGCAACGATTGGGCTTAGAAACCGGTTATATTAAAGAAGCAGAAAAACGTGATCATCTTTTAAAATACACACCCCTTCAAGAGGAATTACCTAAACGCTCCATGAAAGATTCCTATATGGAGGCATATATACCGTTAAGTATATGTGTAGATATGCAAGTGAATTATGTTAGTGCTGTGGGAACTGTGCGCTTGGGTCGGCTTATGGAACAATTAGATATGTTTGCGGTATGGATATGTCAACAACATGTCTTGCTACCCAAATTACCCGAACATGAACCTTTACCTTACACCTTTGTCACAATATTGGTAGATAAAATGACATTTTCCAAATTATTACCCGCATACAATCAAGATATACGTATAACCGGTCATGTATCATGGGTGGGTAGGACCTCTTTGGAAATAAGCGTTTGGCTGGAACAAAAACATGAAGAAAGTTTTCGTCTAATAACACAGGCAGTATTCCTTATGGCTGCTCGTAATGCCACTAATACAAAATCGGCACCAGTTAATCCTCTAAAACTCGATAATGAAGAAGAAATGGAAATATTCCAAATGGGTGAGGAAAGACGTAAAACCCGTAAACGTTTGCATGAAACTTCAATATTTAAAATTAAACCTACCGAAGAGGAACATGCACTCATGTACGCACTCTTTCAAGATACCACCGATAACTCGTATTTACAATTGAATAATAGATTTTTGCCCCAGAATAGTCGGTGGATGAATGATTTATTTATTGTTAATACTTTTCTTTGCTTTCCCGAAAATCGTAATGCTCAAAATACCGTTTTCGGTGGCTTTCTAATGCGTCAATCTTATGAAATAAGTTGGATGAGGGCATATCTTTATTGTGGCCAACGTCCGTCTTGTGAACGTTGTTGTGATATCAGTTTTGAACAGCCCGTACAAATGGGTTCGATTATTAAAATGATTGCTTATATTGTTTATACAGAAGATAAATTTATGCAAATTATGACTGTGGCGGAGATTTTAGATCCCAGCGGTAAAGGTCCAGTGACCACAAATATATTTTATTATACATTTTCATGTGTCGATAAAATTACCGAAGTTTTACCGAAATCCTATCATGAAACTATGTGGTATATACATGGTAGGCGCAAATTTTATTATGCTATGGATAAGGGAAAATAAAAATAATACTAACATCTCTAAACAACTGCATATTTTCCTAATTTTTAAACAAAATACTGTTTATTATGTTTTACTTAACATAAGCATAAAGAAAATGTGGTATGTCGCAGCAGTGCCTATTGTATTCACAATTGTGACAGTTATTTTCACATGCCTTGCCAACCATTACAGCTACAAACGGAAGTTCTCAGTTTACATTGATTTGTTGTTGTAAACAATACAGGTGTCATAAAACACAGTGTTGGTTAACGTTTTTTTCTTGTTTATGAAAACAGCTGAGCATAAACAAAACAAAATTGAAAAATTTACAATTTGTTTGTAAAAATTCTACAGTAAAATGTGTAAAATAATTATTTAAAAGCTAAATATATATTCTATAAAAATGTCTACAACTTTAGAACGTTGTCCCGGACAATATTGTGGTCGCATACAATTAGATAATGAGACCTGGAGTGATTGTGGTCCCTGTCCACGGGGATTTCGTGTCAACGATAGTTATGCCTGTACCCAATGTGAGGATGAGCTAGATGCCTATTCCTGGTTTTATTTAGGCTTTATGGCCGCTTTACCGCTAATGATGCACTGTTTCTTTATAGATTTAGATGCCAAGGATAGAAAGTAAGTGGAAGTAAAATCCAAAGAAGCTATTTATAAATACTTATTTTTTTCTTACTAGATTTTCCCGCAAGCAGTTGATTTTAACTACTTGCGCCTGTCTAGAAGTTATTATTTCCGCCATAGCTGCTGTTCTTTTAATGGAACCTATGGGTGAATTTCGTTTATTTGCCTGTCCTGTGCGCAAATTTTCCGATTGGTATACTCTTTTTTATAATCCTGCTCCTAATTATGAGAAATCTTTACATTGCACTCAGGAGGCGGTGTATCCTTTGTAAGTATTATTCATGATAAATACTAACTGGTTTGTTAAGCTATTTGTATTTCTAGGCAAACCATTATTTTGGTTTTCTATTTTTTGTGTTTGGTTACCATGTTTATTATAAGACCTCTGGTTAGCACTCTATTGGAGGTGAGGGGCAAGGCTCCTATTTATGCTGCTTTATATTTTCTGCCTCTGATAACGTTTATTCATGCCTTGGCTTGTGGTTTAATATGTAAGTATGTGGTTTAACTCCGGGAAGGGATTTAAACTATCTTCAGTTTAATTCTAGTTTAGTCCTAATACTGTTCTAGTTCAGTTCTAATTCAATTCTAGCTCAGTTTTAGTTCTAGTTTTGTTATAATAAAGTTTTAGTTCAGTTCCAAATCAATATAAGTTCTGGTTCAGTTCTAGTTTAGATCTCATTTATCACTTAACACTTATTTTTATTTCAGACTATTCATTTCCCTATATGAGCATTGCTATATCAATGATTGCTAATGCTATACATTACTCCATGAAATTGGATCAATCTTTTAAAGCTCTGATCAAATCTTCTTGTTTGGAAATTAAAAATTTAGTTATAATATGTAAGTTATCCGCATATTTGTAAAACATGAGTAATTTTTTTTTAATTAATTACTTCTTTTCTAGGCATACAATGGCTGTTATTAGCCTATGGCATTATAGCTTTAGGACATCACTATGCCTTATTGTGTTTAGTGCCCTTTCCTTCAATATTCTATATATTAACTGTACGTTTTACCGATCCAGCCGAATTTCGAGAAAGTGAAGCACGCAGCAGTTAAGGTGAATTGAAAGACATGAATTTAAATTTATTTAATACTATATTTTTAAAAAATAATCAATTTATTACAGATGAAGAAGAAAGAAAGATGCGAGCTATATAATTACTACAATCAAATCCATTAAAAACCAGCAATTAAGTTTTGTTGTCAATAAATAAATTAGAAAGTGATTAAGGTAAGTCGAAACAAGGCTTTCCATAAGTATTTGTATAACACAGCTAGCATCCGTACTTTCTTATCATTTTCCTTTTTCAATTTTATAAAACTCATTCGAATTTCAGAAATTTCAAGAAAAAGTTATACTTACTTATTTTTTTAATCAATTAATTGAAAACAACATTTAGTTTTTTTTTTTTATATAATGTTTGTGTATGTTTTTTTTATTTATTTAAATTCTAAATGTAATTATAAATTATTTAAATACATATACATTAATCATCATTTTTTTTTCATTCCCATTGTTTTTATGTTTGTTGTTTTGTTTAAATCCAATATTAATTCTTAATTTATACACAATACATGTTATAGCTACATATTGTTGTTAAAGTATCTCTCTTCTTTTTTATCTGATTTTTACGTGTGTTTTTTTGTTATTAAAAAGATTGTTTAATAATATACTTATAAAGGGTTTCTTGGTTAATGCTCTCAAAAAAGAAAAAAAAAATCTGTTTCAAGGAAAGATAAAATATTTTGTGTTACATTAAAAAAGGTAATAATAATGCTAGTAAAATAAACAAATAATGAATATTAAAAAAAGAAGGTGCGAAGCTTATTCTTCAATATAAACAAATACAAAATGTTACAACTTCATTTAATGCAAAAATTAGAGTTTTTTAATAATAATAATAAATTTTTCACATAGATCTTAAGAAAAACGTTATAATATAGTATTTAAAACAAAATGAAAATGTTTTTTTTTTTTTCGTATTTAATATGAAAGAAAAATTAATCGTTTCTCAGTCCAACTTCAGTTTGCTAAACGTGTGTTAAGTAATAATTTTGTAAAATTGAGCCTTAACAATTTCATTTTTAATCCGAAGAAGTTATTTTATTTTGTTCTTCAAGGAATTTTAAACGTCGTTTACGCAACTCGTTCATATGTTCCGCTGTGCTGTCTATGGATGTTGTCGCATTAGATGATGTAGAGGGAGCAGTAGTAGTTGTATTAGATGTTGCCGAGATTGGAACATCTATATGATCTTCACCGCCCAGATCTTCTATAGTCACTTGATTATGTTTGGCAACTGGTGTGGTGTCTGTAGTAGATGTTGTCGTTTTATTAATGTTAGTAGTAGCTTCAGGTGAAGATGTCTTTAGTGAAGCTGCAGCAGGAGCAGCTTGTGCCGCTGCTGAGGTTGTAGGTAATTCTTCTGTCGTAGCTAAGTCACTAGTATTGGCTTTTGCTGAAGCTGCTGCCGAAGTGCTTGGTTTCTCTGTACTAGCTGCTGCATTTTCTGCAGTTGTTGTTCTAGCTGCAGCAGCAGGAGTGGGATTTAAGCTCTGTGTACGAGCAGCCACTATTTGATAGTTGTTCATTAAAATGTTAGCTGCATCTAACATCAGTTGTATGTTGCGCAAAAGCTAGAAGAAAAAAAATGCAAAAACAATTAGTATTTTTTTAATTTGTTTTAATATTTCGAAATTACCTTTATACGTTCTTCTATATTCTTTCTTTCATTTCCTTCCAATGCTTTAAGTTCTTCATCGCTAAAGTTGGTTAGATCTGGTGGCATGGGTGGTGGTGGCACAGCATAGGGGGCAATAAATGGAAAGGGAGGAGGCATCATAAAAGGTGGTGGCATCATGGGTAGGCCAGCAAAGTTGGGTAAACCATTTCCTCCAGAACCAGCCATGTTGGGTAAGGGGTTGGGTAAGCCAGCTGTAAGGAGTAAAAATTATAAAAATCTTAAAAAAATGTAATTTTTAGAACTACTTACCAAACTGTTCAAACACATTAGTGCCTGTGGGTGAAGCTGGATTTTCATTACCAGCTGCATTGGGCATTTGAGCATTTGCTGCAGGTGTAGCTCCCGCATTAACAGCAGCGGCTGCTGCCGCACCAGCAGCCCCATTAGCAGCATTTGCATTATTCTCTTCTGCTCTTGGCAAAGCAGTAGAATTCGCCGCTGGTGCCCTTAGAATATTCAAACGACAAGTAGGACAGGTCTGTTGTCTCTGAAACCATGATCTCAAGCAAATCGTATGGAATATATGACCACAGGGTAACTTTTTCGAATGATTAACCATATCCTCACGACAAATAATACAAATATTATCCGATAAACGTAATTCTTCTGGAGTAGCATCCGGATACAGAGTATTCATATTACGTATAGCACGTCGTGACATTATCACATCACTGAGTGCCTTCTTAAAGTTTCTTATCGTAAAGAACATGGGCCGGAATACAAACATGGGTAATGCATAGAATTTCGCCATTATCACCACAAACAGTACATACAAAATGACTTTGATAAATCCGATAAAAAGTTCAGTGTACAACAGAAAGACGGCTTTATTTTCCCACGGCGTATCGGTACGCATTTCGGCGGCATGTAAAACATATTTAATGGCGGTACTAGCAACAACGGTTAGGAGTATAGCATACTCGAAACCAAATACCAATTGTACAGTGGGACCACGAGCCAATGTTGAATTATAGGCATGCATTAGCAGCATATAATCGAGAGTGCCCAAGACCATTAAAAGGCTGGCAACACGTATGTGGAAAAGCCAGCCTAAAACGGGAGAACGTTCCATCTGTAATTAAAGAAAATAAAATTATGAAAACTTTTGGGAAAATCAAAATTCTGAATAATTTTTCTTGTTTAGTTTTAGATCAATTGCAGTTGAGTTCTAGAAAAGTTCTAGTTCAATTCTATTTCTGGTTCAGCTCTAGTTTAATTCTAGATTAGTTCTAATACAGTTCAATTCTAGTTTATTTCAATTCTGGTCCAATACTAGTTTACTTCTATTTCAGTTCTCGTTTAATTCTAGTTCAGTTCTACTCTAGTTTAAAGATTTCTACATGTTTTAGAAACAAATTTAAAAGAGTACAATATTTTAGGAATTTCCTTGAATAGTTATAAAATCCTTATTTTATAACTATTCATAAAAGAAAACATAAGCAAAACATTTAAACCATAAAGAATGATGATTTAATATTTATCTGTCATTAGGACGACATATGTATGATTGGTTGTTTATTTGCTCATTCAATTCTTTTAGTATTTCTATACTAAATAAAAAATAAACAAATATAAACCAACAACAATTTGTATAGAAAAAAATCGAAAAAAAAAACAACTGAAATACTAAAATAGCATGTCAAAGGTGCAACACACACCTCATCAAAGAACATTCTAAAGTGATAATTAATAAAACTTTATCTCTTAAGAGAAAGAAAATAAATTAAATTATCTACAAAAAAATATATGTATGTACTTACAAAATCTACACGTTCTTCGGCCAGCCAATGGAATGATTTAAGAAACAATAATACCGTAAACAAGGCCACAAAACGTGGATTAAAATCATCACGAAAAACGGTAAAAGCCAAACAGGTTTCTGTAATGGCATACCAGAAACGCTCCAATAAATGTTCAAATTCAGCGGCCCGCAATGTACCCAAAAAGATCTATAAATTTACAGAATTAACGTCGTTTTATATAGCAGACAACACAAAACTCTAATCTATCAAAAAGAACACTTACCTTGCGCAGTAATTTTCCAAACATAAAAACAATTGCAAAGAATTGTATGTAAATCACCTGCAATATTTGTATTTGCAATTAAAGAAAAATTAAAACACACACATTAGTTAGTTAGTTTATGAGGTCATACATTTTCATTTACTACATGCTACAAAACATGCATGGAATGGTACTCACCGCCATGGAGGCATTGGATTTAGTGATATACACTACAGCTGGATAGAATTGTTTCTTTTGATACCAGGCATTGCCAATGACAGCACTGGTTAAGCCCAGACATATGGTGGACAGCAAAAGCTGCATTATGTTGCTGCTGTTAACACGTACAGCCCACTGGCTGATCGTCTCCCAGAAGATATTAATTTTGTTTTTAAATTAATTTTTTCAAATTATTTTATTTTTTTTTTTTTATTTTTAAAAAATTGTCCTACTTTTTCTAAAACTGCTTTTCATCCATTAAAAATACACACATTGACACCACCAGTTAATTGTGGGTAAAATATATAAAAAAAAGAAAAAAAATTTAAGATTAAAAAAAAACAAAAATATTATTTGGTTTTTTTTTTTTTTTTTGCTATATTTTTCTTTTATGAGACTTCTTCGTCAACCATAAAATATTAAAAAAAAAAATAAAACGAAATTTGTTCGCTGTTGAATAATTTCTTTTACGTTTTATAGTTAACACAATCAATATATAGTATATTTTTTTTGTCAAGCACTTAAATTTATTAATGTTAAAGATAATTTTTTATATTTAAATGCCGAAAAATTCTAAATAATTAATAAGAAAAAAATTTTTTAGAGTACACGTACGTCGTTTTCTTGCCTTTTTTTGCTGTTTTATCTTTTACCATTATTCGTTTAATAAATGTCAAAATAAAAGTAAAAATTATATAGAAGAGTGTTGCCAATGTGTTGGAATTGTTTTGGTTTAAACACTGAAAAGAATAGAGTGTTAAGGAGGAAAATACTACCGTTAGCATAGTTTTGCTGTAAATATACACATGAGGATAGAAAAATAACTGCAAATTTTATTTTTATTCACTAGTTCCTTTTTAATTTATTCAAATTTTTCTGACATTTATAGAAAATTTATGTTTTATTTGAAAAATATTTTAAAATTAAAATATCGCATTATATGTCCTGCTGCCATATCATATCGTTTTTTAATATATATTATTTTAAATTCAGATTAGAAACTTTTAATACCAAATCGACTTTAAAATAATCCAAGATTAGATTTTTGGTCGAAAAAACTCGAAGTCGATTTTTTGTCTAACAAAATCGATAAATCGGCAAATTTTTTTTTTTTTTTTTTTTTCAAAATTTGCCTTTTGTAAATTTTTAAAAAAATTACCTTTTTTATTAAATATTTTAAAAATTGGAATTTTTTAGTTAATTTTTTAAAAAATCATTGTCATTACTTAATAAATTTTTGAAAAATGTGTCTTTTTTTAGTAAATTTTTCAAAAATTTGCCTTTTTTAGTACATTTTTCAAAAATTTGCCTTTTTTAAGTAAATTTTACAAAAATTTGTCTTTATTCAATAAATTTTTCAAAAATTTTTCGTTTTTTCAACAACTTGTTTTTTTAACGTTTTTCTCAAAAATTTGTTTTCTTTTTTAATAAATTTGCCTATATTCGTAAATTTAAAAAAAAAATCCCTTTGCTTAGTATTATTCTTAATTTATAGTTATTTCTTCATAAACTTTTCTTTTTTAGATAACTTTTTAAAAAATTTTATATTTTACTAAATTTTGCAAATTTTACAATATATTAAATTTTCCAAAACTTTTATATACTTAGGAAATCCTCTAAATCCATCAAAAATCTGCTAGATGTTTAAATAACTGACAAAAATTCCTCATAGGACACTTCCAATAATACACTGGTGAAGAAAAAATTCAAAATGTTGCCATTTTTATAATTTTATTTTTTTTAATTTTTAAGAATTTGCTATTTAGTAAATTAAACAATATTTATTTTAGTATTTTTCTAACAAACCTAGATTCTGGAAACAGTTTGTATGGTTGTATTTTTTATAATTTATATTCACATTTTCTATAAAGTCACTCACCTATTTTTCCAATCACATGTGTACGTAGATAGTTACGTTACATTTGCAGATGAAAACAAAATTCTGATTTGAATAAAAGTGGGATAAATATGTAGATCAGTGAAGATTTTGTGGCAATTCCAATTAGAGTGTCCCAAATTTACGAAGTTAATAACGCCAAATTCATAAATTAATTCTTAAAATAATTAGTAACAAATTTAAAATATAAATATTCAAAAGAAAATCAAATAAACTCTTGCAATGATTTCCATTGAATTTTCATAATAATTTCCTAAATTATAACATAACACACACATCTTCTTTTAAAATATAGTAAATATGAAGTATTTTTAAAAATTTAAAGGCAATTTTGACGTAATTATCCATAAAAGTAAATTTCGTATTAAATTTTCGTTAATACACACTTTTTTCTCAGTGCATACATAATACCATTGACAATTACACCGAATACTACACTTTTTTACAGTCTTACCGAATAGGTAGTAAGAAAATACGTACACAAATTTGCAACTAATTGAAAATAAGCGGACAGATTTCTAGTACTTTTTTCAAATTCGGCCCCTTTAGGGAATAAACGGGTAAAAACTGTATTTTGGTACTTTTTTGCAACCCAGGTATCTTTTAAACCAATGAATATTCAAACAATATTTTTGACTCCTTCATAACTTGACGAACAAATCAAAATATGAATTTAGTACTTTTTGGATATTCGGACGTTTAAGGGGTGAAAATTGTACCAATTTTTGGTACTTTTCCCACTACACTTTTTCACAGCTTTACCGAAAAGGTAGTAAAAAAACACGTACACAAATTTGCAACTAATTGAAAATTATTTCTCTTTGAGAAGAATTTTTGCAAATTCCCGAAAAGTGTCGATGTAAAATTTCTAAGCACGGAAAAAAACGACTTTTTTGGGGATATTTAATACAAAAAATACAATAAAAATAAATAAAATCAATAGAAAACGTAAGATAATAACAAGAATATGAAAAATTTCAATAATATATTGTATTAAATATTGAAAAAATTTGTAAGAAAAAAAATTGCAATACCACAAAGGAAAAAATAAAGTGAATGAAGTAAGCAGTGTTAGCAAAAAAAAAAGGAAAAGAAAGGCAAAGAAATATTTTTTTCTAAACGAAATAAGACGAGCAAAAAAGGTCGCCATTTTGTCTGTGCCCGGCTGAAATTTTAAATAAATTTATAAAATATTCCATAAAACTTAAAGAAATTGTCTTTGACTTAACAAAATATACAACAAATAACAAAAAATAATTAAATTTTTTTAAAGGTAACATAAAACAAAAAAAAAAGAGTCGCTAAAAAATTGTGTGTGAAAAAATACAAGTCCGAAAAACAAAAAGTCAAACTAGAAAAAGAGCACATATTAAAAAAAGAGAAAGAGAGTAATAAAAAAACCGAATGCTAATTGGGCGGATGCAAAAATAATACAAAAAAAATTAAACGGTGAGTTTTTCGGAAACATAAAATGCACAACAAAAGAAAATAGCAAAAAAAGAAGAGAGTGAAGAAAAGAAAAATTGCATTAAACGAAAAAATAAAACGAACCTCAAATAAAAGAAAGAGTGAAAAAATTGCAATACGTTTTGTGGCAGACAGTGTTAAAAAGTTGTTTTATTTTTAATTTGCGAAAAATATAAAGAAAAATATATAAAACCAAAGTAATATAAATAAATTAAAAGAAATTTAAATATATATTTTACAAAACAAGTGCGTAAATAGAACGTCTAAGAGTAATTTGTGCAAAAATAATATTTGAATACATTTTCACTTTTTTTCCAACTCATTTCTATATTTTTTCTACAGTGAGACAGACGGCTGAGTTTTTCTTTTTCTTTTGTGTTGTATGACGAAAATCGATAATAAATCGTTGTCTTCGTTTTATTAAAAAAAAACTTTTATTGCTGTTGGTTGGTTTTCGCAGCTGTGTGTTTTAGGATTTATGTTTAGTTGCCGATTTTCGTAGAGTTTAAAAAATATTAAATTATTTTTTAGTTTTTCATACCTATATTCATTTGATAAAAACGGTTAAAGTGTAAATTTTATTTTTAATTACCAATGCCTTTGTTATAAAAGCAGTTTTTGTATACAACTTTTTAACACTACATTAATTTCATTAGATTTTGTAGGTACAGAAGTATATTTTAATATATTAAAGGAAACTTTAATATTTGTTAATTTTTTTATTGAAACATTTTTATACGAATGTAATCATTTAATTAATCAGCTGATTTGCTATAACTTGAACTGTCATCGCATCAACACATCATCATCAATACTTAATGGGTTGTGTGAGAATTTTTGGGATCTTTATTCTCAACATTTTTAGCATATTTTTTTTTTGATTTTTTTTTAAAGTATGTATGTATTTATAACATTTGTAAGGTTATATTTCGGTTTAAGTTTTAGTTCAGTTCTAGTTCAGTTCTAGTTCAGTTCAGTTCTAGTTCAGTTCTAGTTCAGTTCTAGTTCTAGTTCAGTTCTAGTTCAGTTCTAGTTCAGTTCTAGTTCAGTTCTAGTTCAGTTCTAGTTCAGTTCTAGTTCAGTTCTAGTTCAGTTCTAGTTCAGTTCTAGTTCAGTTCTAGTTCAGTTCTAGTTCAGTTCTAGTTCAGTTGTAGTTCAGTTGTACATAGTTCAGTTCTAGTTCAGTTGTAGTTCAGTTGTAGTTCAGTTCTAATTCAATTCTAGTTCAGTTCTAGTTCAGTTCTAGTTCAGTTCTAGTTCAGTTCTAGTTCAGTTCTAGTTCAGTTCTAGTTCAGTTCTAGTTCAGTTCTAGTTCAGTTCTAGTTCAGTTCTAGTTCAGTTCTAGTTCAGTTCTAGTTCAGTTCTAGTTCAGTTCTAGTTCAGTTCTAGTTCAGTTCTAGTTCAGTTCTAGTTCAGTTCTACTTCAGTTCTGGTTCAGTTCTAGTTCAGTTCTAGTTCAGTTCTAGTTCAGTTCTAGTTCAGTTCTAGTTCAGTTCTAGTTCAGTTCTAGTTCAGTTCTAGTTCAGTTCTAGTTCAGTTCTAGTTCAGTTCTAGTACAGTTCTAGTTAGTTCTAGTTCAGTTCTAGTTCAGTTCTAGTTCAGTTCTAGTTCAGTTCTAGTTCAGTTCTAGTTCAGTTCTAGTTCAGTTCTAGTACAGTTCTAGTTTAGTTCTAGTTCAATTCTAGCTCAGTTCTAGTACAGTTCTAGTTCAGTTCTAGTTCAGTTCTAGTTCAGTTCTAGTTCAGTTCTAGTTCAGTTCTAGTTCAGTTCTAGTTCAGTTCTAGTTCAGTTCTAGTTCAGTTCTAGTTCAGTTCTAGTTCAGTTCTAGTTCAGTTCTAGTTCAGTTCTAGTTCAGTTCTAGTTCAGTTCTAGTTCAGTTCTAGTTCAGTTCTAGTTCAGTTCTAGTTCAGTTCTAGTTCAGTTCTAGTTCAGTTCTAGTTCAGTTCTAGTTCAGTTCTAGTTCAGTTCTAGTTCAGTTCTAGTTCAGTTCTAGTTCAGTTCTAGTTCAGTTCTAGTTCAGTTCTAGTTCAGTTCTAGTTCAGTTCTAGTTCAGTTCTAGTTCAGTTCTAGTTCAGTTCTAGTTCAGTTCTAGTTCAGTTCTAGTTCAGTTCTAGTTCAGTTCTAGTTCAGTTCTAGTTCAGTTCTAGTTCAGTTCTAGTTCAGTTCTAGTTCAGTTCTAGTTCAGTTCTAGTTCAGTTCTAGTTCAGTTCTAGTTCAGTTCTAGTTCAGTTCTAGTTCAGTGCTAGTTCAGTTCTAGATCAGTTCTAGTTCAGATCTAGCCTTATTTTGCTGTCTACATGTGTATACACATATTAAACTTTTGGGAATTCCCTTAGTAAATGTAAAAAAATCATAATTATAGATAACACAAAGAGAAAAAGAAAAAATCAACTGAAAACTTAACAACTTCAAATAACAGTCTAGTCATGTAAAAGCAATGTAAACACATTTTTTTTGCTAATTAAACGTCATCTCTCTAAAAACATGACATATCGCCGTCATTGTTGTCAGCCCATAAACACACACGTACCCTTACTCTCATTTTCAACTAAACAGAGTTTAAACAGCAATTTGCTAAATGAAACATAAAAAAGATGAAAACTAAATGAATAAATATGCAAATTTTATCATATGACATTACTGCTCTCGAAATAATTAAAAAAAAAACAATAATGACATCACAATAAATAGAATATTTAAAAGTAATTTAATTAACTATAAATAACAAAATAAGAAATCAAGAAAAATAAGTATAATTAAACAAGTGATATAAACTGTGAATTTATAATTTAAAAATATGCTATAATTTTATCAAAGTGTATAAATAAAAGCAAAAAGTGTAAACAAATAAAGAAATATATTTATTTTAAATTTGATTTTAATAAATAAATCGAAATGTTTAAACAAAGAACAACCTAACGAAAGTAACCGAAATTTTGTTATAAAATATTGATTTTTAACTATTCTCATGATTTGAGTTATTAAACTTGTTTTTTTTAGTGATTTCCATGGAATATCTTAAAAATAATATCTAGTGAATTTTTTCCTTTTACAAATTAAGTACTTGCAAACTATATTGCTAGTATAGCCGAATCGTTTTGTGGTTTTATATTCCTTGTTATTTTTTCTTTCATAGTTGTGTCATATTTCTATTTTACAGATATTTGCACTATATGGGTTCTTCCATAAAGAAAAACAACAGAAGTTATAAAAAATTACTCTTAAAAAACTAGAACTAGTTCAGTTCTAGTTCAGCTCTAGTTCAGTTCTAGTTCAGTTCTAGTTCAGTTCTAGTTCAGTTCTAGTTCAGTTCTAGTTCAGTTCTAATTCAGTTCTAGTTCAGCTCTAGTTCAGTTCTAGTTCAGTTCTAGTTCAGTTCTAGTTCAGTTCTAGTTCAGTTCTAGTTCAGTTCTAGTTCAGTTCTAGTTCAGTTCTAGTTCAGTTCTAGTTCAGTTCTAGTTCAGTTCTAGTTCAGTTCTAGATCTAGTTCAGTTGTAATGCAGTTCGATTTCAGTTTTAATTCTGTTCTTTGAATCTGAAGAAATTTTCTTAGTGTATAAGCACGTTATAAAGTTTGAAAGAAAAACTTTTAAGAAACTGAATAATTTTCTGTTTAAAATGCATTAGAAACTTGCTTCTTTGTGGAATAACCCATAGTCCAAAGACTTGTGCAAAATGTATTTGTTTGTTTGTTTGTCTATCCAACCATCATCTATCTATATTTTCCATTTTCATTTATTTTGTATTTTTTTCTTTAATTTTTTTTCTTTTTTGCAGTTTTATGGATTTTTTGCATTTGCCTTTTAGCCAGTGTGTGTGGAATATGTAAAAACGTATGCTTAGGAACCTTTTGTTGTTCCTCCTGCTGAAAGAGAGCAAAAGAAACGAAAAAATACAACAAAATTGTTTCTTTTTGGTTTTTATTTTAATAAAATACAAATAAAATCAAAAATAATTTACTACAGAGATAAAGAACGACAACAACAACTAAAATAAAATATTCTTTTGAACAACATCGATATTCAAATCTTCAAAAGACTTGAAATTAAAGATTGCAAAGTTCAAATCCTGAAATACTTTTTTTCGTTTGTTTTTTTTTTTTCTATGGTATTCCGTAATAACAGCAGCAGAAGACTAGAAAAAGAATAAAAATAAAGGAAAAACTGTAGTTATTTAAGGAATTTTAGTTTTGGTTAGTTTTTTGCGTTTTAAACGACCAGCTGCCACTTTACAACCACACACAATGACTGATACGCGTGGTCGTGGCCAGTCATCATCTGGCAGTGGCAGTGGTGGTGGTAGTAGTGGCGGAAGTGGTGGTGGCGGAGGCAGTAGCAGTGGCGGTGATAATTCATCAACTACCAGCACTTCATCTAATACAACTTCATCATCTTCTACTCTAGTGGGAGTGGGTGGTGTTACAACTTTGGAGTCATCATCGTCTTCAACAAACTTAACTACGCATAATCCTACAGAGTCTACAACTATTTCGGCCACCATAAATCCCTTAACAGAGTCGCCTGGCGCCTCTGTGTCGGCAGCCACGGAGAATGTGTAAGTAACAAACAAAATAAAGTAAAATAAAAATTCAAAAGAAGAAATGAAAAATACAAATCATGCATTTTGTATACAAAAATTTATTATTGCAAACAATATTTTCTATTTATTACTTTACTACTCGTTTACATATAGATTTTATTTCTTTAAAGCTTTAAATCACATTTAAACAACTTATTTTTATTAAAGATTGTTTTTGGTTTTTAAGGCAGAGAGTCTTGGCATAACTTTAAACAAATCGCGTGTTATTACATTATTATTATTAAAACTTAGAAATTTATTTATTTCCTTATTATTTTATTTAGATTTTCTTTTTAGTTTAAATTCTATACACACACTTTCTTGCTGCCATGACTAAGAATGGCAAATTGGATTGTTTGTTGGTGTGCAACAGAATAAATTATTGTTTAATAAGTTTTTCTTTAAACAAAAACAAATTTAGTGCGTTTTAAATATAATTGTAAAATTTCAGATATTTTCCTTTTTTTTCATTTATTTAATTTTTTTGTTTATTTTCCTGCTCTGATTTTGTTTGTGTTGGAGGTTGTTTGTCTGTCTGTCGTTCTGTGCTTTTATTTTGGGAGTGTCTCACGTCATTATATTTAAAAATGAAATTATCTTTTCATTTTTCTGTTTTTTCTTGTCTAAGTACTTTTTAGCTGCAATTCGTCTGTCATGTTAGTCCATTTATTGTACACCTACATCAGAGGTGAAGTGTTTTTTCTTTGTTTTATTTTTTTTTTCACTTTTCTTCCCCTTGTTTCCTTCAGGTTTTCATATTTTTGATTTAAATTTTATAAATTTTTCTATATTACAGTTTTTTCAAGATAATCAGTTTTGAAACTAAAGCAGTTTTCTAAAGAAAAGCTCTATAGAAACTAAAAGCATTTAAATAATAAAAATCTCTTTGGAAACCAAAGCAGTTAACTAAATTTAAAGCATTTAAGTGATACTTTTCTAAAGGAATGTTCTAAGATAAACTCTTTAGAAACTAAATCAGTTGATTTAAGAAAAACTCATTCAATACTAGAGAAGTTAATTGAAAAAACTTTTTAGAAACAAACTAGATAATTAAAAAACACTACAAATGAAAAAGATTTACAAAAGAAAAGCTCTTTAGAAAATAAAGCAGTTAACTAAAGAAACTCTTTAGGAATGAAAGCAGTTATCTAAAGAAAAGCTTTAGTTTCTAATGAGTTTTTCTTTAGAAAACTGATTTAGTTTCTAAACACTTGTTCCTCAGATAATTTCATTAGTTTCTAAAGAGTCATTCTTAAAAAAAATTGCTTTAGTTTCTAAATAGTTTTTCTTTCGTAAATTGTTTTAGTTTCTAAACACTTTTTCCTAAGATAACTTCTTTAGTTCTTAAAGAGTTTTGTCTTTCGAAAATTGCTTTAGTTTCTACACACTTTTTCCTAAGATAACTTCTTTAGTTTCTAGAGAGTTTTTCTTTAGAAAACTGTTTTAGTTACTAAACACTTTTTCCTCACATAACTTTTTTTTACTTTCTGAAGAGTTTTTCTTTCGAAAACTGTTTTAGTTTCTAAACGCTCTTTCATCAGATAACTTCTTTAGTTTCTAGAGAGTGTTTCTTTAAAAAACTGCTTTAGTTTCTAAAGAGTTTTTCTTTAGAAAACTGTTTTAGTTTCTAAACACTTTCCTCACATAACTTTTTTCGTTTCCGATTCGAAGGACCAACTTTTTTTTATGTCAAAAATTTGGTTTCTAAACGGATTCTACTTTTAAAAATAAACATTAAAAACAAAATTAAAACTCAAACCAAAACTCTCAATATCTCATATCACCAAAAATTTCAAATTATTTATTTATAAAGCTTCAACAATGAAATTAATTTGCATTAATATTTATTTAATTTATTTATTAAACGGCAAATTCCTAATACAAACAAAACCAAATTTGAACAAAAGTTTTGTGATAAAATTAAATACATAAACATTTTTATAAGCTTCAACATTTATTAAATGGTACTTTTTGATCGTACTCAGGGAAATTTGTTTACTTAATTAGTGGCCACAAAATAAAACTTTAATAAACAATTCATTTATGTCACTTTTAAATGCTCTGCATAACAAAAAAATTATACCCTTAAACTTGAACTAAATGAACTTACAAAATAATAAAGAAAAAAAAAACAACAAAATAAATAAACAATAATAAAATTGTATATTAAATTAAATGTATGAATAATTAAAGTATAGTGAGTAAAATTAGACATTTTACAAAAGTACAAGAAAAAATATTAAAAATAATAATGTACGTTTTTTTTTTGGTATACATTATAACAAAAAGAATAAATAACAAAAACACAAATAGAAGCAGAGAGAAAAAAATAACGTAATAAATAATAAATTTATGTACTATATAGATTATAATAATGTGTAAATATTAAAATTTTAAACTATTTATGGAACAAAAGAAACGAAAAATAAATGAAATTTAAACAAAATAAAAGAAATGGGTATAATAAACATATAATATACACCTTCTTTCTTTTTCTTTTATAATTTTCAAAAAATTATTTTGTGATTTGTTGAAAGAAATTTGGACTTTATGAAAATTTAAGCAAAATTTTAAAATTTTATTCGAAAATGACTTTAAATTCTAAAAAATCTTCAAGTTTTTCTTTAGAAAACTTCTTTCAAAACTAAAATTTCCCTAAAGATATCCTATAAAATCTTCCCTAAAGAAATCATGCTACAGCTGAAAACTCTTTAAAAGCTATACTTAGGGCGGGTTTTTCAGATAAAGATAATCTACATTCTTTGTTTAAACCTAGTTTATTTAATATATATTTGTGTTTTTAAGTAAACAGTAACGTTACTTATTATCTTAGTTTAACTGAGTGTTATTGGCCAATTAAACTTAAGTTATAAGTGAGAAGACACAATTAACAAAAACAATAAAACAATGATTTCGGAAGAACAAAAACTTAATATTTTAAGTAAATTGCAATATTCTGATTTATTTTGTTTTATTTATTATTGTTTTAAATGTTTATTTAACATTTTTCCAAATTTTTTCATTTTACAAAAGTATTATTTGTAGAAAACAGCTGTTCATTGTTTATGTTTTTGAGTGAAAAGTTGGCAATACTAACAAAGTTAACTGAACTTAAATCCATAACTGAAAAACACAATCATCGGTTAAAGTCCGCCTAAACTTATTCTGAGTTTAATCTAACAGCAAGTTAAGCCTAGTTTAACTGAGTAGTAAGAAACCCGCCCTTAGAGCGGATCTGGGCCGGTTCTGTTACAATCCGAACTATTGAAGTGTTATATGAGTTGATATTTATTCTATAGAACGATTCAAGAACACCTTTAACCCCCATTTTCATCACCTTCAGTTATCGTTTAACCGGTAGTCATTCTTCCAGTTAAGACAATTTTTGTACGAGAACTGTCAATATATCTTAAAGTTAAAAAATAACTAGATATGGTGAAAATGGGGGTAAAACTACTGTAGAAAGATTTTTAAAAACTGAATCGAAAGAAAAAGTAGAAGCAATTCCATTTCGTTTCAATGGAAAGATCGAAGCTACGTTTTTCTAAGTTGTTGTTTATGTGGCGGAGAGTCGGAGAGACTTATTTTAAAACTTATATTGTATATGGGCGTGGCACATAGCCTACTGAAATTTTTGAAATAAAATTAGCCTATAGTTTCTTCCAGACATGCCGGAAGACTCTAAAAATTTCAAAAAAATCTGTTCAGCAGTTTAGCAGTCTATAAAGTCCAAACAAACATACAAACACATACTAATTTTATTTTTATATATAAAGTCACCTTCCTAACTGGTTCTGTGGAAGTGTTTTAGAGTCGACAATGATACGTTTAAACGATGAAGTAAAATTATTACCTGTTGAACAAATTCTTCTGTTCAATATTATTACAATCTTAGTGTCAAATCGGTGGCCCTTCTACTCTCTTATTACGTTCAGCAACCTTAGGGAAGCATTCTAAATCGTTGTTTTGTTGCTACAACCGTGCACCACCCAAAACTCTTGGGGGTCTCATTTGATAGCCTATTTACTTCCTCAGCTCACGCACAAATTGCGAAGTAGAAACAAGATCCTCAAAGCGCTAGCCGGCAGCACTTGGGGTATGGATAAAGAAACCTTGTTAGATACATTTAAAACGATTGGTCGGTCAATTATGCTCCTCCAGTGTGGTCACCTTCGCTCAGTGATACCCAGTGGAGAAACATTCAAAGCTGCCGAAATGCTGTCCTAAGGACTGTAACGGGCTGCCTACAAATAACCTCGGAACATCACCTGCACGAATGTCATGTTGACTAAACAGTTCCTCCTGCGATGTCATGGGAGGAGTCATTCCAACTTTAACATCTTACAGTTGGATACTCCCACGAGTCATGTCAGGAAGGATCTTTGTATATACGAGGAAAACATACGCAGATATGTGCAGGACCCATTGGATCAGTCCTTGTATACAGCAGCTTTAAACGACATTCATAGAGACGCCATAAATTCCGCGGTCCCAGGATACCGCATGAATGTCGTACTTGGAGCCCATAGTATACACGGAAGAAATTCTGGCCAATTGAAATAGACCAATTGATGTACATAGAACCCCCCCAACTAGATTATTGTATAGTTTTAGCTGTTACAGCAACAACAAAGCGTTCAAAAGGCGATTGCATTTCAGAACAACCCGATTCTCATTCGTCTAAAGATTGTCAACTTAGCTCAGTAATATCAACCAGAACTTCTGGTCCAGAAGTTTCTTTTTCCCAGAGAAGAACTTTTAAAAATAGAGAAACTGTTGCAACAAAAACAACCTTACTGAAGCTTTACAAGACAATTGCTCCGTTTAGAACTAATTTCTTTTTTAAGTGATTTTTATATAATATTGACAATATTGGCAACAGTTTTTTATTTATTTATTATTCTTCAATTTTAAAGCATCTAGATGTTCTAGATTTCATAGCTATACAAGAATCTGTAGCAGTTCTCTTATTCTAGAATAACCTTAACCTTATTTTAAAAACACTGTAAATACCAGATTAAACTGTTTTCTTTTGATCTTATAAATTAAACTATTAATTTTTTTTTTTTTTTTAATTTCAAGGTCAAGTTATAATAAAAACTTTTGAAAGGAATGATAAGGAAATATAGAACATTTGTTATAATTCCATATTTCAAAATAATATTTAAAAGAAAACATTAATTTCCACTGTTTAGGTTTAAAATAAAATATGTAAAAATTAATGTTTTAATCAAGATTGTAGCTAACACAGAACTCTTTACCAAAAAATAAGAGAAATCAAGGCAAAATTATGGATTTTTGGAATATATTAACTTTCTCTATTATAATTTTAATAGAATATGTGAAAAAACATGCTTTAATTTCAAACAATACTGTAGCTATTTATATTTATAAGCATATTAACTTTATTTTAAAGTTTAGTTTCAAATTCCGCTTCAATATTTGCCTAATTAAATGCATTAAATTTCAGTGCTTTATAAATAAACAAACAACTTACTTGTTGCTAAACAATTTTCAATATATAGATTTAAAATTTGTTTTCTTTTTTTTTTGCTTTATTTATTACTATTTACTGTTGATGTATAAGTGTTTTTTCTGAGATTATACTTATCAATTTTCTTAATTATTGTTATACGTCATCTTTTTTTTCTAAACTTTTAACAAAGACCCATTAAACATTTGAAATTAAAACCTTTATAGAAAGCGAAAAAAAAACTGCAAAAATATAAAACACTAAATAAAATATCAGCCTTTAAAACAAAAAAAAAAACCTATAGATAAGAAATCTATATATATGAAAGAGTAGCGTTACTGACTGACTGATTCATCATCGCACAGCCCAAACGGCTGAACCTAGAATCATGAAATTTTGACAGTAGATGTGTTTTTTGGTTATGTAGATCCACTAAGGAGGGATTTTTGGAAATTTGTACATTTACGGGTAAAAAGGGGAAAAAACGGGCAAAACAGGTTTTCCTAATTATCTTACACAATATTAGTGATACAAGAAAAATTTTAAATGCACCTGTATCTACTCTTAAAATGGGCAGATGGGTGTCTGGTACTTTTTTGAAATTCGTACTTTTAAGGGGTAAAAATGTGTAACAATTGTGATTTTGGTACCTTTTTTGGCCCCTCATAACTTTTGAACTAATTAACATAATAAAATTTTTATAAATATTTTGGATACATCTCCCAAAATTATGAGACACCTGTTTCGTACTTTTTTAATATTCAGTCCTTTTTTGATGTAAAAGGGAGAAAACTGTATTTATGGTACTTTTTTTTAGCACATTAAGAAAACTTTTTCGGTATATTGGACTAACTCTGTAATATTTATTGTAATAAAATTTTTGCTATTTCACTGGGGAAAAAAGTACCAAAAAGGGAAAAAACGGGAAATTTAATTTTATTCAAACTCATTGAGCCAATTTTTATAAAATTTTAAAAAGTAGTTTATTTACTCACACAAATAAAGCTGTTGGTATATTATTTTGGAATTCGAGTATTAAGATCTATATAGGACCAAATTCGAGTAAATTGTTTGGTACTTTTTGAAAGCACTATTTTTCTGGAACAAATGAATGCAGATTTGAATCGTTTGAGTTTTATCTGTGATATATAGTTTTACATAAGTACGGAACATGTTGTAAACTTAATTCTCAAAAAGTATATTTCTAAGCGAAAAGGGGAAAAATTGTACTATTTTTATTAGTACCTACTTTCCACTAAGGTAGAATTTATTCCACTTTTGGTAGTTTTTCATTCTTCAAATGTTACTCTGTATGTTCTATAATATGAATTCAAAACACATGATTATTAAACATACACGGTCCTCATTGAATAAGATTCCATAAGAGAGAACTTTTTAGTACTTTTTATTTCATAAATGGTACTTTTTTAATTTTCTAAAATATTCAACCTAGGAACATTATTTTAACATACATGGTCCTGACTAAATAATATTCTGTAAGTGGGAACTTCTTGGTACTTTTCTATTCTTCAAATGGTACCTTTTAGATTCTTTATAATGGTTAACCGAAACACACGGTCCTTATTAAATGAGAATTTATTGAGAGAGGTTTTTGTACTTTTTCGTTTTTCAGATGGTACTTTTTGATATTTTTACGATATTGAACATAGGTATTGAAAATAAAATTTAAAACCTTATTGAATTTAAAAGCTTAGTGAATGAGAATCTACTGAAAGGGACTTTTGGTACTTTTTCATTCATCAATCTATATTAATCTATTAGAGGTATTTTATAGTACTTTTTTTCAAATAGTACTTTCGAAATTTTCTATAATGTGGAAGCTAAAAGAATGAAACTAAAAATACAAGCTTCTTGCTGAATGCGAATTTAATCACGTGATATTGAACGTATAAAACTGAAACATTAAAAAAATTTTTAATCAATTTTAATTTTTTTATAAAAGTAAACAAAATTTTGTATGTATTTAATTTAAGTTAGGGTAGCGAAGCACCCAGGGTATGCTAGTCTAATTATAATGCTAAACACTTTTTTATAAAATTTCATATTTGCCAACCATTTTTTTCTGTTTTTATTTATTTATCAACAAAAAAAAACTATTTAATATTTAGTTTTTGTATACAAATATATGCCTTTTCTCTTTTGCCATTTATGAATCATAATTATAGTATAATTTTACAATTCTCTAATTGTTTATCTATTGTATTTATCTAACTTTTTGTGTATTGCATTTTGTATATTTTCCTTTTATTGTTGTAATTTTAGATCACCTGAGAAATTGATAGCGTCATTTCCTACGCTTAAACTAAGATCATTAACACAGAAAATTTCAAATCCAAGATGGGTTGTACCCGTACTGCCCGAACAAGAATTGGAGGTATTATTGAATGCTGCCATTCAGCTAACAGCAGCTGGTAAGTTTTACAATTTTGTTTTTCTGAACTGAATTTCGAATTTAAGTGTTTCTCGTTCGTAATTGTCACCTTCCGAACTGATTCTAAAAGAGGTTTAGCTTCTGTGGTTCTGTGGAATATATTCTGGGCTATATTCGTTCTATAGAATAGTTTCAGAATTAGTTCATTATTCATTTAATGATTTTTTTTTAATCAGAACTGTTATATTATACAGACAACATTCGATGTAAAGTCAAAATACATTCCAAAGAATGATTCGCGAACCATTTCAGTTTTTCTTAAATTAATTTTGTTGTTATATGGAAGCATTATAAACAGGTTCGGAAATGTTCTTTAATCGATAATACTTGTTCGTTATTCTCACCTTCCGAACTGATTCTGGAAACTGTTATAAAGTCATAATACGTTCTAGAGAATGATTCTCGAATCAGTTATTTTATTCAATAATATTCCTATGAAATTGTCACCATAAGAACCAGTTCTGTGGAAGCGATGCACATACTATAGAATATTTTTAGAATTAGTTCAATATTCATGCTATAGAATGATTTTAGAACTAGTTCTTTAATCCATGAATTTGGTTGGAATACTTACCATTAGAAATGTTACTATTCTAGCGTTATACGGACGACATTCGATCTAAAGTCAAAATACATTACAAAGAATGATTCCCAAATCATTTCATTCATCAATTATAATTTCTCTAATTTGTCACCTTCGGAACTAGTTCTTTAGAAGGTTTATACAGTTGACAAATACATTCTAGAGAAAAGTTTTGAAAAAGTTCTTTAATCAATGATTTTTGTTTAAAAATGTAAGCATTAGAATTGATTTTGAGTCAAAATACATTCCATAGAATGATTCGCGAATTAGTTCGTTTATCAATGATAGAAGAATTATTGTGTCGGAATTAGTTCTTAGTCGTAATTCGTTTCATAGAATGAATCGTGGATCAGATCATTCATCAATGATTTATTTTTCGAAATTATTCTTTAGTAGTTCTTTAATCTATGATTATTATTCGTTTTGGATCCCCACCGAACTAGTTCTAGTAAAATTATCGGAAACAGTTTTTAAACTAATCGTTTTTTAGTTAAATTTATCGAGAAACATTGGAAATGATTTTGAATCAAAATACATGATTCACGAATTAGTTTATTTATCAATGATAAAAGCATTATTGTGCATAGAATGATTCCCGAATCAGATCAATGATTTATTTTTAGAAATTGTTCTTTGATGATTATTATTAGAAACGGATCCCGACGGAACTGGTTGTAGCGAAAATTTCGGAAACAAGTACTTTTTTCATAAATGTTTATTTTTCAAAAAGTACTTTTTCCAAAAAATGTTAGTTTTTAAAAGGAACTTTAAAAATACTTTATTAAAAGTTTTTGTCCCAAAAAGAACTTTAATAATACTTTATTAAAAGTTTTTGCCCCAAAAAGTACTTTAAAAATAACTTTTTAAAAATGCGTTTTCATTAAAGTTTATTTTCCAAAAAGTACTTTTTTCGAAAAATCCGTCTTTATTAAAAAGTTACTTTCAAAATAGTTCATCAATCCTTTAATATTTTTTAAATAATTTTATAAAAGATAAATAACCACCACAATTCTCTCTTCCCCTTCATCCAGGCGTCGATCACGAATGCGAAAATTGTGTCGAATTTTATCATAGTGCTTTAACAACATCGTTTACGAAAATTCTTACCGATGAGGCTGTCAACTCGTGGAAATATAATATTCACCATTGTATCTTGATCTCTTGTGGCAAATTGTTACATTTGATTGCCATTCACATGACCCGTGATAATCCCTATCTGCTGGATTTACTGGCCATAGTTTTCGATCCCGACAATAAATTCAATACATTCAATGCGGCCCGACAGACAGAATGTTTCTCGCCACCCGATCATCTGTGGGGTGTTTTGGATGGCAATAAAATGTTTGCCAAACCACCGCCTGAACCGAAGAATCCTCGCGGTTGGCTAGTCGATTTAATTAATCGTTTCGGCCAATTGGGTGGTTTCGATAATCTGCAAGAACGTTTTAATAGGGGTCTTCAGCTGTTGCGCAAACAGCAAGAGCAAGCGGCGGCCGCTGTGGCCTCGGGGTGTGCCAAGCCGGGTGGTTCGAGAGCCATGCTGCAACCTGATCCGGAGCAGAAGAACAAATTAACACTGGCCCTCATCTATAGTTTGCTGAGGCCCTTTGGTCAGTGTTATGAACTGCTGACACCCGCTACTATATCCAAATATTTTATGCCCATTTGGAATGTGGTTTTGGATTTACTCGATAGTTTTTCGGATGAAGAACTAAAGCGTGAAGCGAAACCGGAGGGTCGCAATGATTATATAAATGGTATTGTTAAATCTGCCCGTTATTTAGCTAGTCGTTTGCCAGGTCAAGAGGAACTTATACGTAACTTGGAAATGTTTCGTTTAAAGATGATTTTACGTCTGTTGCAAGTGTCCAGTTTTAATGGTAAAATGAATGCTCTCAACGAAATCAATAAGGTTTTGACATCGGTGTCGTACTATGCGCATCGGACTCCACAATTGCCTCACTGCATGTCTGATGATGATTTGGATTGGTTGACAGCTGAAAGAATGGCGGTGAGTAGAACTCTTTAAAAAACCAAAAAGAGCTTTATTAAAGAAAAGCTTTTCACTTTTCAACCCAAAAAGCATTTTTCTTTAAGAAGGCTTTTTGATCAGAAAGCAATCTTTACAAAATTTATTTTTTCGTAAAAATGTTTAAAAAAGCACTTTTCTAGAGCAAAAAAATCTTAAAAGCATATTTTTACTTGAAAAGCACAAAAAAGCTTTTTGCTTTAAAAAAATCTCCAAAAAGCTTTTTACTTAAAAAAAATCTCAAAAATTTGTTTCTTAAGAACAGCTTTTTCTTAAAAAATCTCAAAAAAACTTTTTCTTAAAAATATCTCAAAAAAGCTTTTTCTTACAATGTTTCAATACAGCTTTTTCTTAAGAAACTCATTAAAGCATTTTCTTAAAAAAGCTCAAAAAAGTTTTTTTAATGCTCAGAAAAGCTTTTTCTTAAAAAAAAATAAAAAAAGCTCAACAAAGTTTTTTCCTTAAAAAAGCTGAAAAAGCATTTTTCTTAAAAACCTGTAAAAAACTTTTCATCCAAATACTATTTCAAAAATTTTCAAAATTTCTTAATTAAAATAAAACTTAAAAAATTCCTTTATTTTTAATTCTTTAGGCCTGGATCAAAGAATCCGATGTTTTGGGCATCGTTCTGAAAGACTCTCTACATCAGCCACAATATGTAGAAAAGTTAGAGAAAATCATTCGATTTTTAATTAAGGAGCATGCATTAACCCTAGAAGACTTGGATGCCGTATGGAGAGCTCAAGCTGGAAAACATGAAGCAATCGTAAAGAATGTTCATGATTTATTAGCGAAATTAGCCTGGGATTTTACACCAGAACAATTAGATCATTTATTTGAATCATTCCAGGTAATGTACAACGAAATATCACTTGTATATCTTAACAAACTAACAAGATCATCTCTTTTAACTACTACAGGCCAGCATGACAACTGCTAACAAACGCCAAAGAGAAAGACTTTTGGAATTAATACGCCGCTTAGCGGAAGATGACAAAAACGGTGTGATGGCCCAGAAAGTGTTAAAGCTCTTCTGGACTTTGGCCCACAGCTCAGAGATACCACCCGAGGTGCTCGATCAAGCGTTGGCAGCTCATGTGAAAATCTTAGATTACAGTTGCTCACAGGAACGTGATGCTCAGAAAATCGTTTGGCTCGACAAATGTGTGGTAGAGTTGAAGAATGGTGAAACTTGGGTATTGCCCGCTTTGCGTTTAATCCGTGAAATCTGTTGCCTTTACGAATCATCTCCCAGTCATGCTCCACGTTCACAACAATCCCTAAATCGTCAGCAAGTCATCGAACGTCTACAGAACGATTACTCTTTAGTCATTTTAGTTACTAATAGTCTAACATCGTACATGGAAAAGATACGCACCATGATAGCGGATATGCCCACTGTTGAACCTGCCTCGCTGTGTATCGATGGGCGTTATCCACACAATATGCAGATATCGGAGCGTTTAGATTTCCTTAAATTCTTGCTAAAAGATGGCCAACTGTGGTTGTGTGCAGATCAAGCTAAACAAATCTGGCACTGTTTGGCTGTCAATGCTGTGTTTCCTTCGGATCGTGAAGAATGTTTCCGCTGGTTCGGTAAACTGATGGGCGAAGAGCCAGATCTTGATCCTGGCATAAATAAAGACTTTTTCGAAAACAATATACTCCAATTGGATCCACATCTACTAACGGAAAGTGGCATCAAGTGCTTTGAACGTTTCTTTAAAGCGGTGAATTCCAAAGAAGATAAACTCAAGGCCATACATCGCGGCTATATTTTGGACAATGAGGACCTAATAGGTAAAGATTATCTATGGCGTGTCATAACAACGGGCGGTGAGGAAATAGCCAATAAAGCTATTGATCTGCTCAAAGAAGTTTCAACAGCTTTGGGTCCCCGACTCCAGGAGAATATCAGTGAATTCCATGAAATGTTTATAGGTGAATGCTGTGAACGTTTAAGGACTCACTACACCAATATAATGATATTGGGCAAGTCTTTGAGTTCCAACAATGCAGTGCCCGTAGTGGCCGATGATGCCAATCAGGCTGATCAGAATGAATCGAAAGATTCGAAAATGCGTTTCATAGAAGCCGAAAAAATGTGTCGCATTCTTAAGGTTCTGCAAGAATACATCAAAGAATGTGACCGTTCCTTTAATGGGGATCGTTATCTATTGCCTTTAGTACGTGCCACACGCGGTAAATATACTAGTCTTTATATACGTTTTCAAAATCCTGGACGACCAATCGATGACATAGAAATCATCACACACAACAATGAAATGGTTTCCTCTTTCAAGCGCAACTTACTTAAACGCATTAAGGGCACCTCGACGGCCAACATAAAAGTCGATCTCTACTACAACAATGGCGAATTGATAGACATTGGCGATGAGATAAATCCCTTGTCCCAGTATTCTATAAGGGATAAAATGATCTTAACGGCTAAACTAACACCTATAGGAGTGGGTTTGGCTAGTAGTCCGGATACGTCTAGTGATTCTAGTACTGGATCACCACCCAGACCTTGTCCCGACATGCAGCGTGTCGAATCGGAAAGTACTTTACCGGGAGTGATTATTTCTAGGAATTTCCATTATATAGAGTTTTTCCTGAAACTTTATCAGTTGGGCAGTGATTTGGAACATGGTCGTTTGAGGGAAAGTGCTAAAATGCTGTTACATTTATTGCCCTGTGATCGTCAGACCGTTAAAATGTTGCAAATAATGTGTGGCATGTCGGCAGCTCAACAACTGCAGCAGCAATTGCAAACCACGGGCGTAAGTGCGGGAAATGTAGCAAATGTTACCAAAGAAGGGGAAGAGGATAACAGTGCTGGCAATGTAGCCAATGTGGGAGGAGTAGTAACCGCTCAACAACCACCTCAACAGCAGGTTACATCCAGCAATGAACCGGTGAGTTGATGCCTACGTTTCTATAACTGAACACAATTTTTTATTTCTTCTCTTGGTTTTTTACTTTAGATTAACCCTACTGAATGTACACCCGAAATGCTGTTCCTGCATCCCACCCCAGCCCAGGTGCACTACAATTTATGTGTCTTTAACAGCCTTCTAATACCTGCTCTCGATCCCTATGGCGAAAATGCTCTACAAATACAATCTTCTTGGCTGCATTCAGGTTGTGCCCATTTCATACTTGAACTGTTGACCAAAAATAATTTCTTACCCAACGCCGATATGCACACCAAACGTGCATCATTCCAGTGTGTATTGAAACTAGCCAAACTTTTCCTTTACATAGTAGGCTGTGTGCTATCGCGTGTGGGCGACGAACCTATGCTGTTTGACTACGATATGGACTCACGTTCACAGGTGGAAATACTCAAACAAATATTGACCTCAATACCAAATACCTCAGAGATTACTTTAAGGGCTATATCACAAAAGTTGGCTGAAAATTTGGCCAGAGAAATGCTATCGGCCAGTCCTGAAGGTGAGGTTTGTCGCTTGCTCTTTGCTTCGACTTTGCAGTGGTCCTGTCCCGATATATCTACCATTAAAGCTGTAGTCCAATTGGCCTGGGCATCGTCGTGTGGCAATCTACAGTCGTTGGGTACTAAAAATGATTTTGCCGATGATACCTCCATGCCGGACAGTCAAGATTTTTTGGTTTGTAAAGAAGCCCTAGAGGTGCTAACCATCTCTTTGGTCCTAAATCCCAGTGCTAATGAAGCACTAAGTGCTGATCCCCTGTGGAATAAGTTCATAACATCGTTAATATTGAAAAATCAATCACGTCACGTAAGACAGGTAGCGGCCGAACAACTATTTCTCACTTGTACTTACTGTGCCGGTGACAGACGTCCCTTTGCCTATATGGTTAATCTGTTAGTTAGCTCCCTTAAGACTCTGGTGCCTCAACACGAAGCCACCTGTGCTGATTTCTTTCAACTACTCTGTCGCACTCTCTCCTACGGCTGTGTTGTCAACTGGCCCCTCAACATTGGCGAAGGTTTGCTGGCTGAAGAAATCAAATGGTTGCAAAAGATACGAGAACATGTCACAACTACCGGAGATATTCAAGTGCACGAGGATCTGCTCGAAGGTCATTTGTGTTTGGCCAAGGAATTGATGTTTTTCCTATCGCCCGAAACGAAGGCTCAACTGAACGATTTGATTCATGAGCTAATCGATGCTTTTCTGTTTACCGCCTCCCGAGAATATTTGCATTTACGTAAAAATGGTAAACTAAAAACTGAAACTGCCCCTCCACCGGTGTGTCGTAGTCCACATACGATTGCAGCTGCCTGTGATTTATTAATAGCATTATGTCAGAATTGCGTTCCTAATATGAAGTTGCTAACGAATACGATAACGGATTTTGTTTGCACAGGTGAGTCGAAGTGGTGTTGAAAGGTTTCTTTTATAAAAATTGAAATTTTTAACAGAAAATCTAAATTTTCAAGTTTTTATACAAAATTTCAATTCTTTTCTCTTCTTACAGATACTGAACCCTTGCGTGATTGGGACTATTTACCACCAGTCGGTGCACGACCGATTAAAGGTTTTTGTGGTTTGAAAAATGCCGGCGCCACATGTTATATGAACTCTGTGCTGCAACAACTTTATATGGTACCCTCAATACGCGTGGGTATACTTAAAGCTGATGGCGCAGCAACAAATGAAAACGAAGACTTTAGCGGTGAACCCGAAGCCAATGCCATGGGTTCGGCTCTATTCAATTCTAACGATGATAATAATGATGTTAGGAAAAACTATCATGTAGTCATACTCAAACATGTACAGGCCATCTTTGCCCATTTGGGTCACAGTGCATTACAGTTCTATGTGCCACGTGGTCTGTGGACACATTTTAAGTAAGTTTTTACTTTAAATTAACAAAACGTTTAATACTTTACATTCGATTTCTTTTATATTAGACTCCAAGGTGAACCGGTTAATTTACGTGAACAACAGGATGCTGTTGAATTTTTCATGTCCTTGTTCGAAAGTTTAGATGAGGGTCTGAAAGCTTTAGGTCAAACACAATTAATGAATAACACATTAGGTGGATCATTTAGTGATCAGAAAATTTGTCAAGAATGTCCTCATCGTTATTCAAAAGAGGAACCGTTTAGTGTTTTTAGCGTCGATATACGAAATCATAGCTCATTAACCGAATCTCTAGAACAGTACGTTAAAGGTGAACTCTTGGAGGGCGCTGATGCATACCATTGTGATAAATGTGATAAAAAAGTAAAGAAAACATTTGATGTCCTTTTTGTTGTTGCCTTCTTACTTATCTTATTTCTACACTTCTAGGTAGTTACAATTAAGCGGTTGTGTGTGAAAAAACTACCGCCCGTGTTAGCCATACAATTAAAACGTTTTGAATATGATTATGAACGTGTTTGTGCGATTAAATTCAATGATTACTTTGAATTTCCACGACTATTGGATATGGAGCCTTATACAGGTTAGTAAACAAAAGTAGAACAGAGCGAGAACTAGACGTAAACTAAACTAGAACTGAACTAGAACTGAACTAGAACTGAACTAGAACTGAACTAGAACTGAACTAGAACTGAACTAGAACTGAACTAGAACTGAACTAGAACTGAACTAGAACTGAACTAGAACTGAACTAGAACTGAACTAGAACTGAACTAGAACTGAACTAGAACTGAACTAGAACTGAACTAGAACTGAACTAGAACTGAACTAGAACTGAACTAGAACTGAACTAGAACTGAACTAGAACTGAACTAGAACTGAACTAAAACCGAACTAGAATTAAACTAGAACTGAACTAGACTTGAACTAAAACTAAACTAGAACGGAACAAGAATTATAGACAATCTTTGAGTGCTATTAATTTATTATTATCAATCTATTTTCTATTTAACAGTCTCTGGCTTAGCTAAACTCGAGGGTGAGGTTATCGAAGTGGGTGATAATTGTCAGTCTAATGATGAATGTACCAAATATGAACTGACTGGCATTGTTGTACATAGTGGTCAAGCTTCTGGTGGTCATTATTTCAGTTATATACGTTCAAAGTAAGTTTCAATAGAATGACACTTAATCCCAAAAGAATAACATATTTTATTCTTTCAAAAATTTCCTGCAGTAATCCCTCCACTGGCAAAGAACAATGGTATAAATTCGATGATGGTGACGTAACCGAATGTAAAATGAACGAAGATGAAGAAATGAAAGCCCAGTGTTTTGGCGGTGACTATATGGGTGAAATCTACGATAGTAATTTGAAACGCATGCAATATCGTCGTCAGAAACGTTGGTGGAATGCCTATATGCTATTCTATACACGTTGTGATCAAAAACCCATACAGTTTGAGGCGAGCGTCGAACAACTTTCATTGGCCGAAAGTCGTAATTTTGTATTGCCATTGCCAAAACCAATCGAAAGAAGTGTTAGGTAAGTGAGGGCGGACAAATTACAAAAGTGATGTTCTTTGTTTATAAATTTTAATAATTTGTTGTTGTTTTTTCTATATTTGCAGAAATCAAAATATACGTTTTCTTCACTCAAAGAGTATATTTTCTGTAGAATTTTTCAATTTTATTAAAAAATTGGTTAGTTGCAGTATTCCAACGAGGGCTGATAAAATGGTAAGTGATAAGATGAACTGGAACAGAACTAAAATTGAACTATAACAAAATTTTTGTTTAATTTCATTTTACAGACACCCGCCGCCGAAGAGCTCTCTTTATTAGGTGTTCAATTGGCTTCACAATTTCTCTTTCATACCGGTTTTCGTACCAAAAAGTCTTTACGTGGACCAGTTATTGAATGGTTAGTAGAAAAAAAGTTTTAACTCATGAAAATCATTCCTTATCATTCCTTATTTTGTTAAATTTCGTTTCATTTCTCTAGGTATGATACACTATCACATCATATACGTCTATCACCATTGGTACGAAAATGGTTTGCTAGCAATGCATTGCTAAGTCCACCCACACGTTTGGGTGAATATATATTAATGGCACCATCACCGGAAGTTCGTACTGTTTTTGTTAAATTAGTTGTATTCTTTTGTCATTTTGCCATCAATGATGAGCCGCTGGCTGGCTATGATGGCAATAATTTATGTGAACAAATTCTAATAAGTGTTCTTAAGTTATTAAAATGTGAGGTAGCCGATCATGGTAAACATTTGCCACACTACTTTAGTTTATTTAGCATGTATGTGGGTTTAGGCATACAGGAGAAACAGCAACTTTTAAAGGTAAATTAAAATGGCTTTATATCAGCACGAAGTGAAATGTTAATTTATTGTTTATTCTAGTTAAATGTTCCCGTTATATTTATGCAAGTGGCTTTGGACGAGGGACCAGGTCCTTCAATAAAATATCAATATCCGGAATTAAGTAAATTACATCAAGTTGTATCGCATTTGATACGTTGTAGTGATATCTCGGATAGATGTCAATCATCTAATCAAAATGGTAGACCCTTACAAAATCCCTTTAAAGATCCCAGTATAAGATATGAAGATTTAATGCCTTTATCACCAGAATGTGTTGAAATTTTATTTAATAGAACGGGGTAAGTTTTAATGCAGAAAAACATGAAATCTTATTTGAATTGATCTTTACATTCCCTTTTTAAAGGTACATTAAAAAACTTATTGAGGATACAAATGTAGGCGAGGAAGGTTTAAAACTCTTACAGTATTGCAGTTGGGAAAATCCTCATTTTTCACGTGCCGTTCTCACCGAACTCTTGTGGCAGTGCGGCTTTGCCTATTGTCATGACATGCGCCATCACACTGAACTCTTATTGCACATTTTACTCATCGAAGACTCGTGGCAACATCATCGCATTCACAATGCCCTAAATGGAGTGGCCGAAGAACGTGAGGGCCTCTTGGAGACAATACAGAGATCAAAAACGCATTATCAGAAGCGCGCCTATCAAATCATTAAGTGTCTCACACAATTATTCCATAAATCACCGGTAGCATTGCAAATGTTAAATTCAAATCCAGCGATTGGTAGACATTGGATTATTGCGGTTGAATGGTTGCAAGATGAGCTGGATCGTCAGCGTGGCATTGGTTGTCAGTATAATTCGTATTCATGGTCACCACCGGCACAAAGTAATGACAACACAAACGGTTATATGTTGGAGAGATCACATTCCGCCAAGAATACGTGGTCAATGGCCTATGAATTGTGTCCTGAAGAGGTAAGTTGGTGTTTAGTTCAGTTCTAGTTCAGTTCTAGTTCAGTTCTAGTTCAGTTCTAGTTCAGTTCTAGTTCAGTTCTAGTTCAGTTCTAGTTCAGTTCCATTCTAGTTCAGTTCTAGTTCAGTTCTAGTTCAGTTCCATTCTAGTTCAGTTCTAGTTCAGTTCTTCTTCAGTTCTAGTTTCGTTCAGTTCTAGATCAGTTCAAGTTCTAGAACAGTTCTAGAACAGTTCTAGTTCTTTTTATTTAACATTTTAAAAGAAAACCATTTTTAAAAACCCACATTTCGCATCCACTTTCATCTTAGGAACAAGAGGAAACCAATGAATCTGATGTTGAACCCATCGATGAAGCCCAAAGACAGCAGCAGCAACAACAACAAGCCAATACCACAGCAACGACAACAAAAACCAGTGATGAGCTACAAAAGGAGCAAGAACTTAATCATGTAGCCGATTTAATACGAAACAATATGACTGTAGAGGAATCAACACAGCAGCAACAGCAGCAGCAAACAGGTGAAAATTTAAACTTTTCAAATGTTCCTCCACATAAATCAACAATTATTGTTGGTCTAGCTCCTGGTTCATCGATAGACTGGAAAGCCTCAACATTTGTTGGTGATTCATCGTCAGGAAGTAAAAAAGCTTTTACCTCGACTACAAATACCTCCTCCAGCACCAACACACTAGGGTCGTCATCATCATCATCAACAGTCCAACAAACATCGTCTACTGTAGCCATGACTGAATCACAAAATGAAACCAATATAAATGGCTTAACTAGTAATCTAAAACAGATGTCACTATCACCAAAAACGGTAAGTCTGCTTGAAGTTGTAAATATTTTCTTAAACACTTCTTAAGGGTTTGATTGGTTTAATAATTACTTTTGGTATTTGTTGTTTTTTTGTGTAATAAGTACAAAACAAAATCTTAAATACTTTTTGGCTCTTCTTTTCCCTTTTAAAAACAAAACTCTTTATACTTTTTTCTTCTAAACAAAACAAATTATTTTTTGTTTATGTTGTTTTGTTATTAAAAAACAAACTTTTACCTTAAAAAACCTTAAATAATTCTAATAAAAACCAAAAAAAAACAAAAGCGTTTAATGGGCAACAGTAAACAGCAACAACTCCAACAACATCTTCATCAACAACAATTACAGCAACATCAACAACAACTACTCCAACAGCAACAAAAACAACAAAGGGGTAACACTTCAAGCCGTTTAGTATGATTTGCTGCCAAGTTAGTTTTTGTTTCGATTTTGTTTTTTTTTTTTTCTTTTCGTTTGTTTTCTATTGGTTTAATCTTAAATTAAAAAAAAAATAAATCTTCCTTTTTTCTATGTTTGCTTAACTTCTTTTTCGAAATTTTTTTCATTCTTCACTGTTTTGTTTTGTTATAAAAAGCAGGCTATAGCCACCAGTTATGTTAAAAAAAGAGCAAAGCTTGTAAATTAATAGTTTGTAATTAATACAACAATCTGCAAAATCTCACAAACAATTTGCACAAATTGTCTTTTTATTTTGTGTATAGTTAAACATCATTGTTGTAGATATAAAATGTCATTTCTTTAAAATTGCAAAAGATTTTTAATTTTATATTTAAGTCTAATTTTATTAATAAGCAAAATAATTTTTATATTTCAATTTTGTTCAATATCTTTTACCTGTGGAATTAATGAAAACAAACGACGATGGTTTCTGACCAACACTTTTCTATAATAGGCAATATCTCACCCAAGTGAGATGCTTGTATAAAAACTTCCCTTCGAATCTGTCACAATCTCTGCTATGAACCATGAATTTCTGCTATGAACAATGAACTAAAGCTTAACGAGGAAGGACAACATCCCTGTTAAGCTTAGTTCAGTTCAAGATAAGTAAAAAAACAAAAGTTCTGGTTCATTTTTAGTTCAGTTCTAGTTCAGTTCTAGTTCAGGTTCTAGTTCAGTTCTATTCAGTTCTAGTTCAGTTTCTAGTTCCAGTTTACTAGTTCAGTCTAGTTCAGTTCTAGTTCAGTTCTATTTCAGTCTAGTCAGTCTAGTTCAGGTTCTAGTCAGTTCTATTTCAGTCTAGTTTCAGTTCTAGTCTTTCTAGTCAGTTCTAGTTTCAGTTCTATTTCAGTTCTAGTTCAGTTTCTAGTTCAGTCTAGTTCAGTTCTAGTTCAGTTCTAGTTCAGTTCTAGTTCAGTTTCTAGTTCAGTTCTAGTTCAGTTCTAGTTTCTAGTTCAGTTCAGTTCAGTTCTAGTTCAGTTCTAGTTCAGTTCTAGTTCAGTTCTAGTTCAGTTCTAGTTCAGTTCTAGTTCAGTTCTAGTTCAGTTCTAGTTCAGTTCTAGTTCAGTTCTAGTTCAGTTCTAGTTCAGTTCTAGTTCAGTTCTAGTTCAGTTCTAGTTCAGTTCTAGTTCAGTTCTAGTTCAGTTCTAGTTCAGTTCTAGTTCAGTTCTAGTTCAGTTCTAGTTCAGTTCTAGTTCAGTTCTAGTTTAGTTCTAGTTCAGTTCTAGTTCAGTTCTAGTTAAGTTCTAGTTCAGTTCTAGTTAAGTTCTAGAAGTTCTAGTTCAGTTCTAGTTCAGTTCTAGTTCAGTTCTAGTTCAGTTCTAGTTCAGTTCTAGTTCAGTTCTAGTTCAGTTCTAGTTCAGTTCTAGTTCAGTTCTAGTTCAGTTCTAGTTCAGTTCTAGTTCAGTTCTAGTTCAGTTCTAAATCAGTTCTAGTTCAGTTCTAGTTCAGTTCTAGTTCAGTTCTAGTTCAGTTCTAGTTCAGTTCTAGTTCAGTTCTAGTTCAGTTCTAGTTCATTCTAGTTCAGTTCTAGTTCAGTTCTAGTTCAGTTCTAGTTCAATTCTAGTTCAGTTCTAGTTCAGTTCTAGTTCAGTTCTAGTTCAGTTCTAGTTCAGTTCTAGTTCAGTTCAGTTCTAGTTCAGTTCTAGTTCAGTTCTAGTTCAGTTCTAGTTCAGTTCTAGTTCAGTTCTAGTTCAGTTCTAGTTCAGTTCTAGTTCAGTTCTAGTTCAGTTCTAGTTAAGTTCTAGTTCAGTTCTAGTTCAGTTCTAGTTCAGTTCTAGTTCAGTTCTAGTTCAGTTCTAGTTCAGTTCTAGTTCAGTTCTAGTTCAGTTCTAGTTCAGTTCTAGTTCAGTTCTAGTTCAGTTCTAAATCAGTTCTAGTTCAGTTCTAGTTCAGTTCTAGTTCAGTTCTAGTTCAGTTCTAGTTCAGTTCTAGTTCAGTTCTAGTTCAGTTCTATTTCAGTTCTAGTTCAGTTCTAGTTCATGTTCATTCTAGTTCAGTTCTAGTTCAGTTCTAGTTCAGTTTAGTTCAGTTCTAGTTAGTTCTAGTTCAGTTCTAGTTCAGTTCTAGTTCAGTTCTAGTTCAGTTCTAGTTCAGTTCTAGTTCAGTTCTAGTTCAGTTCTAGTTCAGTTCTAGTTCAGTTCTAGTTCAGTTCTAGTTCAGTTCTAGTTCATTTCTAGTTCAGTTCTAAGTTCAGTTCTAGTTCAGTTCTAGTTCAGTTCTAGTTCAGTTCTAGTTCAGTTCTAGTTCAGTTCTAGTTCAGTTCTAGTTCAGTTCTAGTTCAGTTCTAGTTCAGTTCTAGTTCAGTTCTAGTTCAGTTCTAGTTCAGTTCTAGTTCAGTTCTAGTTCAGTTCTAGTTCAGTTCTAGTTCAGTTCTAGTTCAGTTCTAGTTCAGTTCTAGTTCAGTTCTAGTTCAGTTCTACGTTCAGTTCTAGTTCAGTTCTAGTTCAGTTCTAGTTCAGTTCTAGTTCAGTTCTAGTTCAGTTTCTAGTTCATTTCTAGTTCAGTTCTAGTTCAGTTCTAGTTCAGTTCTAGTTCAGTCTAGTTCAGTTCTAGTTCAGTTCTAGTTCAGTTCTAGTTCAGTTCTAGTTCAGTTTCTAGTTCAGTTCTAGTTCAGTTCTAGTTCAGTTCTAGTTCAGTTCTAGTCAGTTCTAGTTCAGTTCTAGTTCAGTTCTAGTTCAGTTCTAGTTCAGTTCTAGTTCAGTTCTAGTTCAGTTCTAGTTCAGTTCTAGTTCAGTTCTAGTTCAGTTCTAGTTCAGTTCTAGTTCAGTTCTAGTTCAGTTCTATTTCAGTTCAGTTCAGTTCTAGTTCAGTTCTAGTTCAGTTCTAGTTCAGTTATAGTTCAGTTTCTAGTCAGTTCTAGTTCAGTCTAGTTCTCAGTTCTAGTTCAGTTCTAGTTCAGTTCTAAGTCAGTTCTAGTTCAGTTCTAGTCAATTCTAGTTCCAGTTCTAGTTCAGTTCTAGTTCAGTTCCAGTTCAGTTCTAGTTCAGTTCTAGTTCAGTTCTAGTTAGTCTAGTTCAGTTCTAGTCAGTTCTAGTTCAGTTCTAGTTCAGTTCTAGCTTCTAGGTTCTAGTTCAGTTCTAGTTCAGTTCTAGTTCAGTTCTAGTTCAGTTCTAGTTCAGTTCTAGTTCAGTTCTTAGTAAGTTCTAGTTCAGTTCTAGTTCAGTTCTAGTTCAGTTCTAGTTCAGTTCTAGTTCAGTTCTAGTTCAGTTTTAGTTCAGTTCTAGTTCAGTTCTAGTTCAGTTCTAGTTCAGTTCTAGTTCTGTTCCAGTTCAGTTCTAGTTCAGTTCTAGTTCAGAACTAGTTCAGTTCTAGTTCAGTTCTAGTTCAGTTCTAGTTCAGTTCTAGTTCAGTTCTAGTTCAGTTCTAGTTCAGTTCTAGTTCAGTTCTAGTTCAGTTCTATAGTTCTGTTCAGGTTTTGTTCTAGTTAAGTTCTAGTTTAGATCTAGGAACTGAATATTGTCATAAATTTATGCTACGGTCGTAAATTGTATGGCATGATTTGTCTATTGAGAATAACGAGGTTACTTCGATACGCTTTTAACTAAAGATTTTTATTTTACCGATTTCTATTATCAATGCTACTTACAATTTTGATTTTTTTTTATAAATTTCTTTCTTGATATTATTTCATAAACATAAAATATTTTTATAAAAAAGTACTTTAATAATCACTTAATTTTAAGCAACAACAAAATCTTGCAACGGCTTGAAAATGTACTAGTTTTATATATATATATATATATTGAAAATTATACTTACAACTTACACTGCAAAAAATTACACAAAAACTTTACACACTTAAAAAGAAAAAAAAAAAAAATAAACGCTTCACTCATCTTTCACCAAAAATCAACTTCATTTAAATCAAAGAATAACGCTTTTTTATCACTGTTGCGCTTGGCATTTTTAAAAAGTTAATGAAAAAATGTATAAATTTTAAGTTGAAAATATTAATTAAATTAAAAATAAACAAATATTTATAATTTTCTCTTCTTTTTTGAAACATTATAGTCCGTCAGCGGCGTCATTAGTTCGGAGGCAACAACAACAATGACAACATTAACAGGAACCACAAAAAAGGACAATGATTTAAATCTTTTAAATGTATTAAATAATACAACAACAACGATGACAACAACAACAACTAATAATACACTAGGCAATAATACTGCTGAAATACAACAACTACAACAAACTGTAAATACTACCACTACTAATGACCAACAGCAACAACAACACATTTTATTGGGTTCGACTTCAACTCCAACTACGACTTCGGATCAACAACAACAGCAGCAGCAGCAACAACAACTTAATACCACAACAAAAACGTAGATGAAGTTTAAAAATATTGAAATATTATTTAAATTCTATAAAAAAAGAAAGAAAAAACGGAAAAAATTAAAGAAATAAAAACAACAAACACTTTTTAAAATAATAATAAAAAATACCAGAAAAAATAAAAACAAGAAAAAAAATCTTAAAAAAAAACAAAATGTTCTTTTTTCACACTAAAGAATTAATTAATACAAAAAAAAATAAAAGAAAACAAAATAAATATAAAAAATAATTAATATTATTAAATAATTATTATTATTATTAATTTATAAAATTACATGAAAACAACAAGAACCACAAAAAAAGAAAAAAATATACATAATAAAAACAACAACAACAAAAGAAACTTATAATAAAATTATAAATTTTATTTATTTCATTATTTTTTTTATTTGTTTATTTTACTTGAAAACGAAAAACAAAATTTTTAAAAATAATATTTTAAAAATTAGTTTTGGTAAACATTTTTATGAGTTTTAGAAAGATTTTTTTATTTTAATTAGAAATTGTTTTGAAAATCAAAAATTATAATAGAATTTCTAAAAAGGAAATATTTGAAATTTTTAGAAAATTTTTCAAATTCAAAATTGTCCTAGAGACAAGTTAATATAGAGGGAACTGACCACTGGTTTAGTACTTTAACATTTGACTTGAAGATTAGGTGATAAAAACTTTTTTTTGTATAAAGACGGTTGGTTTCTGATGGTCTTCGAAAAAATCAAGTGGAAAAATTCGAAATTAATTTCGAAAACTCAGAATTGATAGATTTTATATCGATTCAGACTTGTTTTATTTTTTAAGTTTTATTTTGTTCAGTTCAAGTTCCATTCTAGTTCTGTTTTAGTTCTTTTCTAGTTCAGTTCTAGTTTAGTTTTAGTTCAGTTCTAGTTCAGTTCTAGTACAGTTCTAGTACAGTTCTAGTTCAGTTCTAGTTCAATTCTAGTTCAGTTCTATTTCAGTTCTAGTTTAGTTTTAATTCAGTTCCAGTTCCGTTCAAGTTCAGATCTAGTTCAAGTTCTGTTCAATTTCAAATCTAGTTCAGTTCTTTCTTTTTCAGCATAAAATAGAAATTTTAGCAATTTTTCTACTTTATTTAAAATATTGCTAAATTAATTTTTAAGCTAAATGCAAAATTTTAAATTTGTATATGTCTCGAAAATTCGATTAACTTTTCTTAAAAAAATCTCAAATCTTTGGTGATTTTTTTTAAATATTACACTGTTTTAACATGATTTCCTTAAACAATTCTTAAATATAACTTTAACGTAGATTCTATAATTAAAAAAAATATATTATTAACTTTTTTAAAAAACTAATTTTATAAAAAAAAACTATTTTACTAAAACACAACCCAAAATTTCACTTTTATTTATTAAAATTTCTTTTAAGAAAACTTTAACATACAATTAAAACATAAACAATTTTTATTATTTTTTTATAAATATAATATTAAAAAAAGAAATCATTAAAAAACGTATATTATAATTAATTAATTATGTTATATAAACAAAACGGAAATAAATTTACATAAAATGATATAAAAATTAAAAAACCAAAATGATTATTACTACGCTTTATAAAAGGAAAAAAATTAAATAAGAATAAAAATTAAAGAAAAAACATACTTATTAATATTAATGAAAAGAATCATAATAAAAAACGATAAGAAAACAAAATAAATGTTATTATAAATAAAACCAAAAAAGAAAAATAAAAATGGGTTTTTATTAAATGATGACAATTACTGGAAACTTAATTAACATTAGGTCTGTTCAATAACTTAAAGTTGTTACTAATTATTAAAAATTTTCACAAAAATATTTGCAATACAAAAACAAATAGTAATAATTTGTAAAAATTTATTGTTATTGAACAAACATAATGTTTGGTTGGCATTATAGTCTATTATTAGTAACTTTAATAATTATGTATTAATAAATTTCAACATTTCTGCAAATTACGATTATTTTGGCAATTCCTTTTCTTGTTGACTTCGCTCAGGTCACTTTGTGTGGAGTTGCCAATAGGTTGCAAAAAGGGATTGTTGCTTTGTTTGTAAACGAATTTTGTGTGAATCTGTCTATATATTTATCTATCTATCTATCTATCTATCTATCTATCTATCTATCTATCTATCTATCTATCTATCTAATCTATCTATCTATCTATCTATCTATCTATCTATCTATCTATCTATCTATCTATCTATCTATCTATCTATCTATCTATCTATCTATCTATCTATCTATCTATCTATCTATCTATCTATCTATCTATCTATCTATCTATCTATCTATCTATCTATCTATCTATCTATCTATCTATCTATCTATCTATCTATCTATCTATCTATCTATCTATCTATCTATCTATCTATCTATCTATCTATCTATCTATCTATCTATCTATCTATCTATCTATCTATCTATCTATCTATCTATCTATCTATCTATCTATCTATCTATATATCTATCTATCTATCTATCTATCTATCTATCTATCTATCTATCTATCTATCTATCTATCTATCTATCTTATTTAGCCTTCCTTATTGCATTTTATTGGTAACACTGTTTCTTGTTGTTAACTTTACTCGGGGCACCATGATTTCTTTGTAAACAAATGTTTTTTTCTCATTAGGATTAACAAATTCATTTTATTTTATTGTTTGTGTCAAATTCTTTACAAATTATGCTAAATTTAAAATTTATTAACAAATATTTAAAATTACAATACATATTTCTACAAGTTACCGTTATTTTAAACTAATTTCCCTTCCTTTTTCACCCTAATCCTTTTTGTAACATACTGGCATCACTATTTCTTGTTGACAGTACCTGTTTGTTTGTAAACAAATTTTTTTGCGCGTCAGGATTATAAAAGTATACTTTTATTCATGGTGTGTGTTAAATTGTTAATAAAAAGTGTTTTTTTGTGTTTTTAATAACTTTAATTAAAAAAATTGTTTACAAATGGTAAGTTCAACAATTATTTATAATATTTGCAAAGTCATTGATGATTAGGTAGACTAATCAAGCGGAAAAAGTTGTTTATTGTTGTGTTAGCGAATATTAATAGAATTAAGCAAACAATGCATAATATTATTAATCTAAAATGTGACAAAATATGTGTTAATTAAAAATGGTATGGTTTCTTATAAAAAATCCAATTGGAAATTGTAGATTTGATATTAGAAGTTATTTTTTAATGCGCCGAAATGAACAGTGAGGTTTCGATGGATTTTAGAGTAACTTGACCCTCTGTGAAATGAATTCATTTTCCAATTAGAGGTGGCATACGATATCGAAAAAGAATCTAGTGGATTTTAGCTTAATTCGATATCGAAATGAGTTTTTGTTACGAAATATTGTTCGATCTCGTATGGGGTTTCATTTGCAATAATTTTACTTGATATTGTGCTTTGTATTAACATTTGTAGACCCAATTCCGCCCAGAAAAATTACTTCATCGACCCATAATTTGTACTTGACACTGATAAAAATTTTATTTGTTTAACAATTACTAATAACAGTTTAGCTTTAAGCCTTAATTATACACGTAATAAATGCAATAGGTCCAAATTATAAACTATACAAAAAATAGGTTTTAGTAAAGAAAAAAATATATATAAAATAAATGCAATTTTTCCTTCTGGTACAAAGTAGTTCTACTAAAAATGTCTATAGAACAGCAGCAAGTATCTACTTTTCTGCCTTCTCAGTTTCGTCTTCTTCAAAAGTAATAACAGCAGCACCCTTGGCCACATTTGAGCCAACAGCACCACCTATGGATTTGACAACAGCATCCTTGGGAGCCTTTAAAATATGTTCCATTTTCATGGCAATTAAAACAGCCAAACTATCACCCTTTTTAACCTTATCTCCTGGCTTAACCAAAACCTTTTCCAAAACACCAGGCATGGGGGCCACAACCTTAGAGCCAGCACTGCCCATTTGATCCGAGGCGGCATGCAAAAATTTGGGTTGTACCAATTCAAAAGTTTTTTTACCATTCTCCAGGAAAATGGTAATTTCCGACTCATCTATGTGGGCATTGTAGGTGGAAATATTGTTGGAGATGTTTGATCTAATCTTTAAACGTTCGCCATCCATTATACGATCAGCTTTGACATCATACCATTCACCATTATCGATTTTAATTTGTATATTCGAATCATTTCCGTATTTCAAGGAGACTTGATAGGTTTTATCATTGGACTTCAATTGATATTGACGAACTAGGTCAAAATTCAAGCGCAAATTAGGAGAAGAGGTAAAAGGATCAGTTTTGTGTATGCTGTTGATGTGGGAAGCTTGCAATTCATTGAAAACAAGAGTTAAGGCAGCTTTGCACAAATCATCGTCATGGATTTCCAAGGCAGGGAATAAAGTATCAAAGTGTTGGTCGATAAAGCCAGTATGGACATTAGCAGCCTGGAATTCGGGATGACTGGCCAAGTCGATAAGGAAATTGATGTTGGTTTCCAAGCCAGTAATCTTTGAAGGAAAAAATAAGGACATTAGTGGATAAAGAGTAAATATTCTTTTCTATCGCGAATATAATTTGAAATCTCGAGAGAGAATTCCTTTTATTGTGAATTTTTGAGGTAATATTTTGTAAACAATTAACTATTGTGAATGAAAAGTTGAGGGAATTCGCAATTTTAGAGATTTTATATAAAACGAAAAAACTTACGTGATATTCACTTAAACGAGCGATTAAACTATTAAGCGCTTGGGTACGGTTTTCACCCCATACTACCAATTTAGCAATCATAGGATCGTAGTGAACTGACACTTCATCACCTTCGCGCACACCAGTTTCTACACGCACCAAACCTTCACTAGGTTGTGGTGTAGCCAAATAACGCAAAGGACCGGCGCCGGGGAGGAAACCACCACGAGGATTTTCAGCATAAATACGTGCCTCGAAAGCATGACCCTTGCGTATAATTTGTTCTTGTGTCACGGGCAAAGGTTCGCCGGCAGCAATACGTATTTGCCATTCAACCAAATCGGTGCCAGTAATCATTTCGGAAATGGGATGCTCTACTTGCAAACGGGTATTCATTTCCATGAAATGGAAACTGAGATCCTCTTTGTCCATAATAAACTCCACAGTACCGGCGCCCACATAACCCACAGCCTTGGCGGCACGTACGGCAGCCTCACCTAATTCACGACGTAATTCCTCCGACAAACCAGGCTAGAAATTTTTAAATAAGTTTAACATTTTTGGGAAAAGAGATTTCTTTAAATTTTACTTACTGCTGGTGCTTCCTCAATAATCTTTTGATGTCTTCTTTGAACGGAACAATCTCTTTCCCACAAATACACAGCATCACCATATTGATCGGCAAAAACTTGCACTTCCACGTGACGTGGTGATCTAACATAACGTTCCAACAATACTGAACTATCACCAAAAGACTTCTCCGATTCATTACGGGCCGAATTCAAAGCAGACATAAAATCTTCTTCCTTATCAGCAATACGCATACCTTTACCACCGCCACCACGCACAGCCTTAATCATTAAAGGGAAACCAATTTTTTTCGCCTCGGCCTGTAAACGTTCATCGGATTGGTCATCACCATGATAACCATTAATAATGGGAACACCAGCAGCATCCATAATATGTTTACTAGTACTCTTAATACCCATATCACGTATAGCGGAAGAGGGTGGACCCATAAAGACCACTCCCTCTTTTTGACACAATTCTGCAAATTCTACCGATTCGGAAAGGAAACCATAACCAGGGTGAATAGCTTGACAGCCAGATTTCTTAGCTATATCTATAATGCGATCAGCTCGCAAATAAGAGGAGGCAGTGGCAGCCTCTCCCACACGATAGGCTTCATCAGCATATTGGGTGTGCAAAGATTTCTCATCGGGATCGGAATAAACAGCTACAGTACGTACACCTAATTTGCGGGCAGTCTTAATAACACGACAGGCTATTTCACCACGATTAGCTATTAAAATCTTATTGATGGGCCGTACCACGGGGGCACGATTGGAGGCGTGTGTAGCATAAGTTCTAAAATAATAAGATTGTTTTCTTTAATAATAATTGAGTAAAATGCTAAATTGTTGTTGTTTATATTAGTTGAGTTTATGTAACAAACATGTCCAAAGTTTCTTTTTAATATTTCATCGCATATCTGTTAATTTATTGAGCATAAGTTAGTGTTTTTAAAAGTGGATTCCTTGGCCTCACCTTGCATTTCGTAATAAAAGTGTAAACATTTTCACAAAAACCACTTAATTCTAAACAAAATATAATTGAAAATAAAAATTTATAATTCTTTTATTGCACACCTCCGAAAATTCCACACACACTGAGGAATATTGTTCTTCTTGTCGCTCTTATCAGCATGATTAACGGTTGTATTGATTAAGTTGCGTATCTACTACTTTGTAATACAACTCTGTATAATGATCTTGTGACGGTGTTTTAGTTTTTACGGTAAATAACGTTATTTATTATTATTCATAAGATAGATAGATAGATAGATAGATGGGTAGATAGATAGATAGATAGATAGATAGATAGATAGATAGATAGATAGATAGATAGATAGATAGATAGATAGATAGATAGATAGATAGATAGATAGATAGATAGATAGATAGATAGATAGATAGATAGATAGATAGATAGATAGATAGATAGATAGATAGATAGATAGATAGATAGATAGATAGATAGATAGATAGATAGATAGATAGATAGATAGATAGATAGATAGATAGATAGATAGATAGATAGATAGATAGATAGATAGATAGATAGATAGATAGATAGATAGATAGATAGATAGATAGATAGATAGATAGATAGATAGATATAGATAGATAGATAGATAGATAGATAGATAGATAGACAGATAGATAGATAGATAGATAGATAGATAGATAGATAGATAGATAGATAGATAGATAGATAGATAGATAGATAGATAGATAGATAGATAGATAGATAGATAATAGATAGATAGATAGATAGATAGATAGATAGATAGATAGATAGATAGATAGATAGATAGATAGATAGATAGATAGATAGATAGATAGATAGATAGATAGATAGATAGATAGATAGATAGATAGATAGATAGATAGATATTAATTTTAAAAATTAACAAGCTCCATGGATTACATATAAGTACTAAATGCATTATGTGTTACAATAATGTATGCAAAGGAGTAGTTTAAAGATTACCTGTAGTTCGTACACAATAACCTCATCAAGTAAACTTTTTAAAGCATAACCAATATTCCATTAGTATTTACCTCAAACCCTTAAGATTAAACAACAGGTCAAAAACACCAACAAATTCTTATTTGTATTCTTAATTATTTTATTATTCATACAAAAATATATAAGTAAATATTTTTTATTTCTTTTACTCAACTTATCCAATAACTATTAGTTATTTTTATACTACACACTATAGAGAGTTTCACTTATATAAACTTAAAGGAAATTTATCTAAAAACTTGCCTTAACCTAAAATTACAATTACAAAAAAAATATTTAAACGAGTATAAAGGCAATTATTGACAGTTATTATTAAAAAAAAGAAAACTCACATTCCCACGTTTTTAACCCACATGATAATGCTATGAACCCGTACCCGATACTTCGATTTGTGATTCATGAGCCTGTGTGGGACCATAACAGAAACGATGATTTACATCTCTGTAACGATTTTCATGTTCAACGGAATGTGAATTAGTACGACACTTGACTACGCACAATTCAAATTGATCATTCACCTGGGCATATAACATTGCCTGGCGACCCTTAATCACTTCTATTGCTAGCTCCAAAATGGGTCGCTTGTCAGGATGCAGGCAACATGATACACAATATTCATAGATGCCGCAACAATGTGTGCTATTATCACAGGTCTCACAGGTGTAGTATTTAGTTGTTTCTCTTTGTATGTTGCAGCAACCATTGCTTAGTATGTGGTCGGCGTTGCAAACAAATCCCCGATCATCGGTTAGAAGATCTTTACCTTGTATGGTATTTTGACATAAAATATGTGGAGAATTTGTACGATAGTGTGGTTCATCGGGTAAGACATGCTCGTTTAAAGTGCGCCATATTAATGGTTTTGTACGTTCCACAGTGAAATCATTCGATTCTAAGAGATGTAAATTGGGACGCTGTAAATGGGACGAACTTTGGTTTAATGAATATAAACAAATATTTCAAGATTTGAAACTACCTTATGGAATACTTTGGTAACTGTATAAACCAATAAAATAATTGTTATTACAATATAAATGAGTCGTCTCTTTAGCAGGCGTGTTAACGCCGCTGGCCACATTGTTTGCCTGCTCCTATATTTATGATATAGTCTATTTGAGCAGCGGGGGCCATTTAATTGAGATTATATTTTATTTACAATTTATTTATTAAGACATTTAAGTTGGACTGGGATATAAAAAATTATCGTGTCAATTTTGCAGAAATATAAAAAAACACTGCAAATGAAAACAAAACACAGCTGTTGTTTATCAATACATTCCACTGATGTACGTGGTTGTAAAAAATAGTAGTAGTACTTTTAAATAGTTGCTTTAATAAGTACACTTGAAGAAATTTAATTAAGATTTCGTTATAAAATTCATTTTAATATAAAAATAGACTGTTGGTGATCACAGATTTTCACTATAGCCGATTTTAGATTCCTCATATAAAAATCGATTTTTCATGGAAAATATGAGTGATCACAAATTTTCACTATTTTCTTAATTGGAGCGATATTTAAGAAAATACAGCCGATTTTAGATTTCTCATATAAAAATCGATTTTTCATGGAAAATACAAGTGATCAAAGATTTTCACTATTTTCTTAATTCGAGCGATATTTAAGAAACTACAGCCGATTTTAGATTTCTCATATAAAAATCGATTTTTCATGGAGAATATAAGTGATCAATGATTTTTACTATTTTCTTAATTGGAGCGTTATTTAAGAAACTACAGCCGATTTTAGGTTTTGCATATAAAAATCGATTTTTCATGGGAAATATGAGTGATCACAGATTTGCACTATTCTCTTGATTGGAGCGATATTTAAGAAACTACAGCCGATTTTAGATTTCTCATATAAAACTCGATTTTTCATGGAAAATATGAGTGATCACAGATTTTCACTATTTTCTTGATTAGAGCTTTATTTAAGAAACTACAGCCGATTTTAGATTTCTCATATAAAAATCGATTTTTCATGGAAAATATGAGTGATCACAGATTTTCACTATTTTCTTAATTGGAGCGATATTTAAGATACTACAGCCGATTTTAGATTTCTCATATAAAAATCGATTTTTCATGGAAAATATAAGTGATCACAGATTTTCACTGTTTTCTTGATTGGAGCGTTATTTAAGAAACCGATTTTAGATTTCTCATATAAAAATCGATTTCTCATGGAAAATATAAGTGATCACAGATTTTCAGATTTTTCATGGAAAATATAAGTGATCACAGATTTTCACTATTCTCTTGATTGGAGCGTTATTTAAGAAACTACAGCCGAGCGTTATTTAAGAAACTACAGCCGATTTTAGATTTCTCATATAAAAATCGATTTTTCATGGAAAATATAAGTGATCACAGATTTTCACTATTTTCTCATTTGGAGCGTTATTTAAGAAACTACAGCCGATTTTAGATTTCTCATATAAAAATCGATTTTTCATGGAAAATATAAGTGATCACAGATTTTCACTATTTTCTCATTTGGAGCGTTATTTAAGAAACTACAGCCGATTTTAGATTTCTCATATAAAAATCGATTTTTCATGGAAAATATAAGTGATCACAGATTTTCACTATTTTCTCATTTGGAGCGTTATTTAAGAAACTACAGCCGATTTTAGATTTCTCATATAAAAATCGATTTTTCATGGAAAATATAAGTGATCACAGATTTTCACTATTTTCTCAATTGGAGCGTTATTTAAGAAACTACAGCCGATTTTAGATTTCTCATATAAAAATCGATTTTTCATGAAAAATATAAGTGATCACAGATTTTCACTATTTTCTTGATTGGAGCGTTATTTAAGAAACTACAGCCGATTTTGGATTTCTCATATAAAAATCGATTTTTCATGGAAAATATAAGTGATCACAGATTTTCTCTATTTTCTTGATTTTAGCGTTATTTAAGAAACTACAGCCGATTTTAGATTTCTCATATAAAAATCGATTTCTCATATAAAAATCGATTTTTCATGGAAAATATAAGTGATCACAGATTTTCACTATTTTCTCATTTGGAGCGTTATTTAAGGATTTATAGCCGATTTTAGATTTTTCATATAAAAATTGAACTTTTATGGAAAATATAAGTGATCACAGATTTTCAATTGAGAAAATAATTGAAGCGTTATTTAAGGAACTACAGCCGATTTTAGATTTCTCATATAAAATCGATTTTTCTTAGAAAATATAAGTGATCACAGATTTTCACTATTTTCTTAATTGAAGCTTTATTTAAGAAACTACAGCCGATTTTATATTTCTCATATAAAAATCTACTTTTCATGGAAAATATCACAGATTTTCACTATTTTCTCAATTGTAGCGTTATTTAAGAAACTACAGCCGATTTTAGATTTCTCATATAAAAATCGATTTTTCATGGGAAATATGAGTGATCACAGATTTTCACTATTTTCTCATTTGGAGCGTTATTTAAAGATTTATAGCCGATTTTAAATTTTTCATATAAAAATTGAACTTTTATGAAATTATAAGTGATCACAAATTTTCACTATTTTCTCAATTGGAGTGTTATTTAAGAAACTACAGCCGATTTTAGATTTCTCATATAAACTACAGAAACTACAGCCGATTTTAGATTTCTCATATAAAAATCGATTTTTCATGGAAAATATAAGTGATCACAGATTTTCACTATTTTCTTAATTGGAGCGTTATTTAAGGAACTACAGCCGATTTTAGATTTCTCATATAAAAATCGATTTTTCATGGAAAATATAAGTGATCACCAGTGTTGCCAATTTAGCACTTTTAGTGCTAGATTTAGCACTTTTAAAACTCATTTAGCACCCAAAAATGTAATCTAGCACCTAGCACCTTTTTTAGCATTTTTCAAATGTTTTTGGCACCTTTTTAGCACATTTGACGATTTTTTGTACATATTCTTGTTTGCCAATTTTAATTGTTCTTCTGTAAAAATATGGATAAAAATAAATTATTAATTAATTATGTACAACATAAAAATTAATGTTTACTGGTTATCTGTAGAAATATCGGTTCGTATTTGATGAGCTTAAGTTACATTTTAAAAGGGCCACTTCCTACGGAAAATGGCACAAAGCTAAACTAAAATCTTATATTCAACATACATTTCCAAAACTAGATCTTTTTCCAGCGATTTATGATTCAAATTGTTGAGATTGAGATCAATTTTTGGAAACCATCAATTATAATTAAAATTTCTTACAATAAATTCGAGATATTTTTCTACTGGTTTGAAGTAGTTGTTGTTAAAATCTGGACTAGTATCCCAATGTAAATATTTGTATTAATGGAAATATTGAAAGAAACGATTTCATCGGAACTTTTTAATCACAACATTTTTCGACAGAACTGTTTCGAGAATTAATGGCTTTATTATTAGTTGCAATGTCGTTGTTTACTTCCGATCTAAAAAATTCAAAAAAATTATTGAATAAGCATTTCTTATTCCGTATTAAAATCATCCCATAATAAGTGGATTTAGTACGTTTGCGTATTAAGGTAAAAACATTATTTATGCAGTTAAAAAATACACAAAAATAAAGCTATTTTAGACAAATTCCAGGGGAGCCATATAAAAAATCCTCTTTTTGGGATAAAGTAAGAATCGAAAAACTCTAAAACTAGTTATTATAAACATTTTGTTCTGTATTAAAATCGACCCATAATAAGTGGAGTATTATTTATGTAGATTATTTTAAAAATTTAAATTTAAATATTTTACAATAAAATACCTTATTTTTGTTAGCACTTTTTCTAGCATTTTTTTCTTTATTTTTAGCACTTTCTAGCATTTTTTTTCAAAACAATCTAGCACTTTTTCGCAATTAGGTTTTGGCAACACTGGTGATCACAGATTATCACTATTTTCTCATTTGGAGCGTTATTTAAGAAACTACAGCCGATTTTAGGTTTTTGATGGAAAAATCGATATTTGGTGAGAAATATGAGTGATTTAATCAGTGATCATTGCTATCAGTAGTGCACACAGTACGTATGTGAAATATTGAATTGTAAAAAATTGTAATACGTTAACTTTTTACTACCACTGTATAATGCTTTAATCCTTGCATAGTGGCTTTTAAACTAAATTTCTAGTACAATAACCAATCTTAAATTTTAGCCAAACAGTAGCTAAACAGATAGATAGTTAGTTCATCAGACAGACAGATACAATTTAAATTATTCTTTGTTCTCTGAAATACAATGCACATGCTGTTAAAGCTTTGTTTTTGCTCATTTACCTACACACCTTAGTTAAATATAAATAATATATATTTAAATTTAAGAGCTTTGACTAACTAAACCATTTGTAGTTAAATGAGGCCGCCTTGAAAACGAAGACAAAATGTTTTTTTGAATTGAAACGAAAAACCCCAAAATAAAAAACTAAAACACTAAAAGAAACGAACACCTTTCCATTTGTTGGCTTTCAAAGAGATCGATGGAACTAACGAACGATCGAAGAACGGAGAGTAAATTTTAACTTAAACTCAGCAAAAGGTGGTGGCGCAAGCGTAAAAATACACGCAATTTGTTTAATAGTTTAAACGGGCAGTAAGCTGGTGTTTGCTAGTTGGCTTGTGGAGTTATCAAAGAGTTTTTAGTTTTAAACCAAACGTTAAAGCTACAACTTGTGGATTATTATTAAATTTTAAATGAAAAAGCGGTTAAACATTAGTATTTCTAGAGCGTTGCGTTTAAACGTAAATACGGCTTAAAAAACTTGTTGATAAAAAAAAAATTAAATAAAAAGAGAGGGTAAAATAACAAAATAAATAAAATGTGGTTTACAAAATATTAACGATATGTTATTAATGTTATAAAAGAAAAACAAAAACAAATAAATAGAATACAAGAAAACAACAAATAAAATATAAATAAATTTATAAAACTAAATCAAAGAAAACCAAACAACTTAATAAACTGCATTTGGAGTAACCTTCGTTTTATAATTTAATATTTATAAAAAAATTATAACAAATATAAAAATATATGTACATATATAATTAAATTTGAATAAATAGCAAACATATATAAAAAATATAGCTTACTGAAAAAAATATATAAATTAAAGTTAACCAAGAAATATAAAAAATAAAAGAAAAAGTTAACTTAACAAAAAGTGAAATTATTTATTTAAGCTTAACATGCTGTTAATTAAACTAAAAAAAAATTTAAATTTCAATTTCTTTTCTTCAAATACATATTATG